GACCTGACAGGGTGCCAGAGGGGGCTGCCGGGCACGGTAAGACAGTGGAGAAGCTAGCAAGGACAGGACCCCCAGAGGGGTCCGCCAGGGAGACCGCAACCGGCCGACTAAGCGGCGTAAGCGTGGTGCGGTCTCGAAAGAAGGAGCGGGAAGCACCCGAGTCAAGGGTGAAGGTGTGTAAGGCCTGAGCCGACGTGGTACCTGAGAGAGCAGACTCACCAGCACCTGGGGCAGCAGACGCACTAGCACCTAGAGCAGCAGCCTCACCAGCACCTAGAGCAGCAACCTCAATGCCCGGGTCAGGCGGAACACACAGGTAACAGTCACCCTCATCAGTATTAGACACAGCATACATGGCAGCAAGAATAGCATCATAATCAAGATCAAAAATAGCAACCCCCGCCCTAGACAGATCTCCCCAGCGAGGGATCTCAGTGGCGTCAGGGAACTGGTGACGCCACGCGTCCGTCAGGCGGCCGAAGCAGCGCTGGGTGGAGTGCGGGCCCCCGCAGTGCTCACCAGCGCGGTCGCCGGTACGGAGGACGTAGGTGCAGGGACCAGTACCCCCACCTTGCTGACGCCCAGCGTACCACTCACGAAGCTGCTGGGGGGACAGGGTCTCACGACTGCGCTGCTGCTGCTGGCGCGGACCACCACCGGACCCACTCCTCTGCGCAGAGCCGCGACCAGCTCCACCGCTGCCGCCGCCGCCTCCGCCACCTCCGCCGCCTCCGCCGCCTCCGCCACCTCCGCCGCCTCCGCTCCCTCCGCCACCGCCGCCGCCTCCTCCGCCTCCACTGCTGCCACCGACACCTCCACCCCCGCCACCACTCCCACCACCACCCCCACCCCCTCCACTGCCTCCACCACCACCTCCACCACCCCCGCCAGCCCCTCCAGCGCCCTTGCCCCCCTTGCCCTTGCCGGTGCGGCGTCTCCCGCTAGGGGTAGACGCAGCGCCGACCGACTCGAAACCAACGAGGTCGGCCGCAGCAGCAGAAGCAACAGAGGGCAAGAGGGGGGCAGGGGAACACCCCTCAAAGACGGGGGTGCGAGGGTCACCACGAGAGGCTCCTACAGCGACTATGCTCTTCTCTGCTGCTAGGAGGCGCTCCTCGAGGAGGTCAACGGTGAGTGTGGTGGGGCAAACTGAGAGGAAGTGGTCCCTGACTAAGCGAAGGGAGTCAGGGAGCCGGGTGACTATGTAGTAGAGGGTGATGTACATGGGGGGGGGGGTTCTTGGCACAGAACTCAGCAGGAAGCGCAGTGCGGTAGCGAGTGTCGCTAGTGCGAAGGTGCGTTATGAGGTCAGCGACTGTGGGAAAGGCAGCAAGGTCAGGGAACAGGTACGGTAGCATGAGGCGGCTAAGCGCAGTAGTGGCAGGGGAAGAGTAGCGTGCAACTACAGCGTCGTACAAGGTCTGAGCACTCTTGTACTGGCTAAAGTGCGCACGCTCAGTGGTCGGTAAGTGGCGACGCACAGCAAGACGGGCAGCAGCATCGCGTGTGGCCCACTGTGAGCGAACAGTGCTGTCAGCGAACAGTGCCCTATCGCACTGTAGGAACAGCTGGAGCTCATCGACCCAGACCTCAAAGTCAACAGCACGACCCTCAGCATCAAAGGTAAGGACACTGGGGGTAGCCATGACTGCAGTGGCCTAGCAGGGAGTGATCTCACCAGTCCGAGTAAGTAGGGCCGGGGCGCGCCGATAGGAACAGTAGCGGCTCGACGGCAGGGCGGCTCGGCGGCTCGGCTGCTGGGCGGGTCGGCGGCTCAGCGGCTCGGCTGCTGGGCGGCTCGGCGGCTCGGCTGTTGGGCGGCTCGGCTGTCGGGCGGCTCGGCGGCTCGGTTGCTGGGCGGCTCGGCGGCTCGGCGGCCCGGCTGCTGGGCGGCTCGGCGGCTCGGCTGTTGGGCGGCTCAGCTGCTGGGCTGCTCGGCGGCTTGGTGGCTCGGCTGCTCAGCTGCTGGGCGGCTCAGCGGTGAAGGGGCCGGTAGAGGCGGCGACGGGGCCAGTAGAGGCGGCGACGGGGCCGGCAGAGGCGGCGATGGGGCCGCTAGGGGCGGCGACGTGGCCGCGTAGGGAGGGGTGCGGCGACGGGGCCGCGAGGGGCGGCTACGGGGCCGCGTAGGGGCGGCGTCGAGGCCGCGTAGTGGCGGCGACGGGGCCGCGTAGGGAGGGGAGCGGCGACGGGGCCGCTAGGGGCGGCGACGGGGCCGCGTAGGGGCGGCGACGGGGCCGCGTAGGGGCGGCGACGGGGCCGCGTAGGGAGAGAGGCGGCGACGGGGCCGCTAGGGGCGGCGACGGGGCCGCTAGGGGCGGCGACAGGGCCGCGTAGGGGCGGCGACGGGGCCGCTAGGGGCCGCGAGGGGCCTGGAAGGGCGGCGACGGGGCCGCTAGGGGCGGCGACGGGGCCGCTAAGGGTGGCGCGAGGGGCCGTGAGAGGGGCCTCTAAGAGAGTTCGACAGAAGGGCGGCCCATAAGGCGCGCCTCGGGCAGGAGCGACTGACGCTCCGGTCAGAAAAAAAAAATTTCAGTGGTGGGCCCAAGGAAGCGTTCCCACTAGGGAACCTGCTCTATACTATGTGAAGAAATGAGGAATGAATGAATGAACTAGCAAGCAGGCGGGTACAAGTAGGAAAACCTAAAAGTGTTGTATCCCATATTGTCTACCCCACTACAGCCTACACAGACTATAGCATATGAGTTTGACAGCTAAGACCCTTATCTGGTGGTAACCGCAACGCAAGTCGATTTTCGAAAGGTAGCGGGCGCCACGAAGTTGGTCGAGAAGGTCGTCGCACGGGATTGGGTAGCGAGACTTGATGGTCACCCGGTTCAGCGCACGATAGTCGATGCACATGCGAAGCCCGTCGTCTTTTTTCGGTGTGAGGATCGGCGCCACGAAGGGTGATATAATGGGTCGGATGAACCCCTTCTCCAACAGTGCGTCAATTTGCGTTCGCAGCTCCTCGAGTTCCGGCTGGGTCAAACGTCACTGTGTACGAACAATCTATAGCTTTTCGACTGCGCGCCATGTTCCAACAGGATCTTGTGGTCCTTGGAGCGCTCAGATGGCAGGCCAGGTGGAAGATCGTCAAGGAAGATGTCCGGGTACTGTCGAATCAGCTCTGCTAAATCAGGTGGTACAGCTATGCACGGCTTCTCGATGTCTTTTCCGCTTAAACATACGTCGAACAGCTGCGCGCCTCGGTTGGAGTGGCGAGCTATAGTGATGGTTTTGATGCACGGGGCTTGGAAGATCCAGTATTTGCGCTGCAGCCGTTGAGTGAGATTTTTGCGCGTTCGACACCAAACAATGTCATGAATAGCCTTTAGTTCCATGTCTAGTCCCTAAAGTAAAAAATGGTCAAGGGTGATTGATGGAAATCTCAGGGGACGTAAAATTGGCGAGGACTTGGTGTAGCAGTAACGGGCGAACAACAACTGCTGCTGCACGCGATGTTGAAGAGCGCGGTAAGGAATGCCGAAAAATTGCATCTCATTCTCCTTGCTGGAGCGCGTTGCATTGCATGTCCTCCTCGCATTCGTCTCCCTCTCTTCCCTGATCTTCCGTCCGCTCTCCCATCATTTCGCCACGCAAGCAACTTGAAATCTATCGTCGTCACTGAGCCAATCATTGCACCGCATCCTTCGTGCCACGCATCGCACTCGATCCTTGGCTTTGCTTGTCCTCCCCCACCCTTCCCACAGTCTTCACATCACACAGACCAAGAAGAAAATAAACGCAATAAGCAATGACCCGGTACAGTAATAACTCAACACCAACTAGCGAATTCGCGTGGGAACCAGATTCACCCCATCGCAACGCAACCTCACACGCTGCTCGCCAAGCGCCACTTGCCCTAACTAAACCGCTACAAAACAGCTGCCGAACAGCGGCAGAAAATAACTCAGAACTGCAGCACCGAACCGAAATCAATTCACGGATTCACTGCCGTCCGTTCGGTTTCCTCCCTAATGTTTTCCTTTCCCCATTCTTACCTTCGCCTCTATTTTTCTGGTGCCTCGTCCTCTGTTTTCTTCCTCCTCGTCGGCTCGTGAAGAGCTGCACCCGCGTCACCGGGAAACGCGGATTTAGCGTCAGCCATGGCGCTCGTCGCGTCGCAATTTGCGGCCGTCGTCCACTCCTCCAGGAATTCGTGCGGTGAGCAGCACCGGCGCCAGCACGAGCAACATCAGAGACAACAGCAACAACAACAGCAACAGCATCAGCAGCAGCAGCAGCAGCAGCAGCAACAACAGCAACAACAGCAACAACAGCAACAACAGCAGCAGCAGCAGCAGGAGCAGCAGCAGTTGCAACAGCGCGTTTGCGATGTGACACGTGGTGTCTCCTTACGCGCTCCAGCTACCCTTTCCGAGCAACAACCCTCGACGAGTCATAAAATCCCCGCGACCCCGTACACCGCGTGTGGTAGCGAAATTGCGGCGGGAGAGAGCAGGGAGATCGCGGTGCGAGAGGAGGAGCAGCTTCTCTCGATATCGTTCAACCAGGATTCCTCCTTTTTCGCGTGTGCCACGTCATGGGGCTTCCGGATTTTCTGTTGCCAGCAGGCCGTCCACGAGACGCTGAGCCGCGTCTGCTCACCCCGTTCCAGCTCTGCTCCTCCTCCCCTTCCCCCTCCCCCTTCCCCTCCGCATGCTTCCGCCGCTCCCAGTGCTTCCCCGTCGCTTGCCGCGACTTCTGCGTTTCCCGCTCCTCCTGCCGTCGCTGCCTCTGTGCAACACGTGGCGGGCGACGCGACAACTGCAGCAACAGCGGCAGCAACGGCATCCGGCCCGGCAGCGGGAATGGCAGCGGCACGGCACGTCGAATCGCATCCAATTAACCAGCATCCGCACTATCCGCAGCACTATCAGCAGCACGAGCAGCATCATCAGGCGCAACACTCGCTCACGCAGCAGCAGGCGCAGCAGGCGCAGGCGCAGCTGGAGCGGCAGCGCAGCGCGCGGAGCTTCCCCGCGGGCGGAATCGGCATGGCGCAGATGCTGTACCGCTGCAACTTCCTCGCGCTCGTCGGCGGCGGGGATCACCCGCGGTACCCGAAGAACAAGGTGGGAAATTACCCCGGAAATTGGGGTACGTGGCGGGAACTTACCCAGGCACCACGGGCTCGCGTGTGCGCAGGCGATTTCCTATCGTTTTTTTGTTTCGGTTTTTTTTTGTTTTGCTCTCTCTTACTCCGCACGGTTCGCCTGGTTGTGCAACCAATACCGTGCTCCGATTGCCTCTCCCGCGGCCTCTCTTGCTACTTCTGAAGTGCCTAGAAATCTCAGGGCAACGAGCGTGAAGGCGCGGCGGCGTCATCAAAACCGTCCCCGACGGGAATGAGTGTGAACGATTGTTGTGAACGTCAACGGTTATTATCGTGAACGTTAGTCAAGGCGTGGCTGCGGCGAGCTCTTCCTTCCCGCAGAGGAGCGAGCGCGCGTGGGTGAGAGTGCGGCATCGTTTCTCAACGTTTTTCAACGTTTCTCAGCGTTTCTCAACGTTTCTCAGCGTTTCTCAACGTTTCTCAACGTTTCTCAACGTTTCTCAGCGTTTCTCAACAAGTTGGGGTCCATCTCCCATCCCGCTCCACCTCCCCCCCCCCTTCCCCCCCCTTCCCCCCTCTTCACCCCAGGTGATAATATGGGACGACAACCAGGGCCTGGCGGTGGGGGAGCTGTCGTTCCGCTCGGAGGCGCGAAGGAGTCCGTCCGCCCCGCCATTCCCCACATCGCCCCATCCCCTGGCCTCTCCCCCTTCCCCCCCCCCCCCCTTCCCCCCCCTTGCAGGTGATAATATGGGACGACAACCAGGGCCTGGCGGTGGGGGAGCTGTCGTTCCGCTCGGAGGTGCGCGGAGTGTGCCTGCGGCGCGAGCGCGTGGTGGTGGCGCTGGCGCAGCGCGTGTTCGTGTACGCGCTGCAGGACCTGCGCCTGCTGCTGCGCCTCCCCACGCTCACCAATACGCGCGGGCTCGTCGCGATCTCGCAGGCGCCCGCGCCGTTTGTTCTGGCGTGCCCGGGGGTGCTCCGCGGACAGGTGCGGGGGCGGGTGGGGGGAGGGGAGAGGGGAGGCTGAGAGGGGGAAAGGGAGAGGGGGGGAGAGGGAGGGGGTGGGAAGGAACGGGGTGGCTTTGTTTGTATGGTCGCTTGGGATGGGGAAACAGTGGGGTGGTGTTGGTGGGGGGAGGAAAGGAGGCTGCTTGTGTGTCCGAGGGTTGTTGGTATCCGTTGCTCTTTTTGGCTCATTCTCCTCCCTTTTCTCTCTCTCGCCTCTCCTCTCGCCTGTGCCCACTCCCCGCTGCGCCCCGTGCCCACTCTTTCTCTCTCTCCCCCTCTTTCGTCCCCACCCGTATTACTGAGAATTCTCACAAGTGATACTAGCATCCGCGCTTTCCTGCTTCATCCGCCCACTCCCCCTGCCATGTGCCCCCTCTCCCCCCGCTTCCCCCCCCACGTCCCCCCCCTTTCCCACCCCCCCTCCCCCTCCTCTTCCCTATCGTCCCCGCTCCTATCAGGTCCGCATAGAGCACTACCACGTGCACGACCCCCTCTCCCCCTCGCCCGCTTCCCCCTCCGCCTCCCCCTCCCCCTCCTCCCCCTTCTCCCCCCCGCCCTCCTCCTCCCCCGCCGCCTTCCCCCCGCCGCCCCTCACCATCACCATCACGGCGCATGAGACGGCGCTTGCCGCCCTGGCGCTCACCCCGGACGGCACGCGCGTGGCGACTGCGAGTGTGCGCGGCACGCTTGTGCGCGTGTTCAGCACGGCCGATGGCTCCATGCTGCAGGAGGTGAGGTGGGGGCGAGATGGGAGGAAGAAAGGAAGGGGCGATGGATGAGACAGGGCGACTGCGAGTGTGCGGGGCACGCTTATGCTGCGGAGGTTAGGGGGGGGAGTGGGGGAAGTGGGGCTAGAATGGGGGGGGAGGGGAAAGGAAGGGACTATGGAAGAAACAAGGGGTCTGATAGTGTGCGTGGCACGCTTGTGTGCGTGTTCAGCACTGCCGATGGGTCCATGCTGCAGGAGGTGAGGGTGGTTCTGTGGGGTGGGGGGGGAGATGGGGGGGTGATGTTGGGTGAAGGAAGCGAGAGAAGCGGCACACTTGTGCGCGTGTTCAGCACTGCTGATGAGTCCATGCTGCAGGAGGTGAGGGTGGTGCACTGGTGCTATGGGTCGAAGGGGGGGGGGGGCAGGGGGGCGAAGGAAAGGGGAGGAGGGGCACGCTTGTGCGTGTATTTAGCACTGCTGATGAGTCCATGCTGCAGGAGGTGAGGGTTTAGGAAGGGTGGAGGGGTGGGGGGCGGGGGCGTAACTGCATTGGGAAAGGAAGGGAGAGAGGTGGGTAAGGGAGGGGCGGTAGGGGGGAAAAAGGGAGGGCCGTGAAAAGAGGTGGTGGGTGAGGTTAAAGGGCAGGGAAGGGGGGATGGGGATGGAGTGGATAATAGTTCGGTCAGTTGGTTAAATAAGGCCGATGTTTCCTTGCTATACACGTGCCATGCAAATGCCAATAGCCCTCCAAGCACCACCAAACTAACCTTCAATTCTTCCCCTCCCTTCCCTCCCTCCCTCCCCTCCCCTCCCACCGCCGCGCCCACCGATCCCGCCCTCTGCATCCTCCCCCCTGCGCTCTCCCCCCTTCCTTCCACCCACTCCCGTGATGCTCCTATGATGCATCAGCTGCGGAGGGGGGCAAACAGGGCGGAGATATACAGCCTGGCATTCTCCCCCAACGCGCACTTCCTTGCTCTCTCCAGTGACAAGGGCACCGCGCATGTCTTTGCTCTCTCCCCTCCTGCCTCTGGTTCCAGTAGCCCCCCTCCAGCCGCCACTTCTCACATTGCTGCTCGTCCTGCTACTGTTTCTGCTGCTGCTGCTGCTGCTGCTGCTGCTCATGCTGCTGCTATTGTGGCTCCTGCTCCTTCCGCTGCTAACCAAGTCTCTAATCAAGACAGCGGCGGCAGCGGCAGCGGCGGTGGTGGTGGCGGTGGCGGTGGCGGTGGCGATAGCGGCGCTGGGGTTGATGGCGCAGGGGAAAGCAGGAGTGTGGGTGGTGGTAACGATTCTGCTGCCAGGGCCTCTGTGCCTTCATCTCGCCCTGCTCCCGCGCCCTCCTCTCGCACTATTACCAATCTCCCCTTGTCACCGCAATCAGCTGGAACCGCACCCAGCCCCTCTCAACCGAACCCGCTCTCTCTACCCCAGTCTGCTTCCGCCCCTCTCCCCACCCCTCTCCCTCCGTCCTCCTCTGCTCCGTCTGCATCTGATGGTTCCCCAAGCTCTTCCTCCTCCTTCTCCTTCCCTTCTGTTTCTTTGGATAGCCCTCCTGCTGCTGCTGCAGCTGCACCATTTGAAGCAGCGGCAGTAGAAGCAGGAGCACTCGCAGGAGGGGCGGGAGAAGCAGGAGGAGGAGGAGAAGGAGGAGCAGCCGTGCAAGAAGGGCCGAGGAGTGATGCTGGCGGGGGAGAGGAAACAGCAGGAGGAGGGGCAACGGGAGGGGCTGGGGCAAGTAGTAGTGATGTGGTGGGGGGCGGAAACAGTGGTGGGTTGGATGGGACTAGCGGTGCTGGCTTGGGGGTGGGAAGCATTGGTGTGATGGGGGGCAGTAGCAGTGAGAGCAGTATGAGCAGTAGCGGTGTGGAGGCAGAGGGGGAGGTATCTGTAGCACTGAGACCCAATCCAGGCTCGTCACTGTCATTTCTAAAAGGTGGGTAGGCATGTGCAGCTTTGGTGCATCATGCATGTGCTGCCATGGTGCATGCATGCATGTGCGCATGCCAGTGCCGATGTGGTTCTGTGGTGCGGGGCCTATGCCGATGTGGTTTTGTGAGCTGGGTACAGAATGTATGTGGGGCCTATGCCGATGTGGTTCTGTGGTGCAGAATGTATGCTTGGTGTATGTGTTTGTGTGCTGAGGGTGATTTCGTGTCTCGCAGTGCATGTTGGTGTGTGTGGGTGTGCATATATGTACCCTCTTTTTCCTCCACCTCCCGTCACTACCCTCCCTTCCCCCCCCCCCTTCCCCCCCTCACCTCCCTGTTCGTTCCAAAGGCTCCTCCTGTCTACACACCTCCAGTAAGAGGGCGTCTTTCCAGAATTTCCACCATGGCATGATTTGAAGTCTCTGAAACGTTTGAAAATGGGGTCGTCTCACAATGCATGGCATCTCCCCTTGCATCTTCTCCCTCCCTCCCTCCCTCCCTCCCTCCTTCCCTCCCTCCCTCCCTCCCTCCCCCACTCCCATTTCTCCCGCCCATATCTCCCTCTCTTCCCCCACCACCTGCTCCGGCGCTACTTCTGGCCGGACTGGTCTTACTCTCAGTTTCTCCACCTCATGTAACCCCCCCTTCCGCCTCCCTTCTGATCCCCCCTCCTCCGCCCACCAGGAGTGCTCCCGCGCTACTTCAGCTCAGAGTGGTCTCTAGCCCAGTTCCGCCATCTACCAGACTGCCGCTCTCTCGTGGCCTTCGGCGGCCAGAGGAACACGCTGCTCGTCGCGTGCATGGATGGCAGGTGCGTGGAACCTCTCATGTGTCTACCCGCGCGCATCTCTTGTTGCCTTCCGTGCACACACAGAGTAGCACCTGCCCGCGCATCATCAGTTTGCCTTAGATTCTTGCTGTGCGTTTCCTGCAAGAATGTGACTTTCTGCTCCTGTCACTCGGGTATGCTTAGAGATTGCTTTTCCAGTGATCGTCTCAAGAGCCATGTGTGTGGGATTTAAAAGCCTGTGTGGTACTCTCTTGTCTTGTCCCACACCTCCTTTTCCATTGTGTCAAGCAGAGAACTGCAGAAACAAAAACATATTGATTTCCCTACCCTCTCAATTCATCAGTTTTCCCTTCCTCGACCCTCCAACCTCTGCCCCGCTATGTGTGCCCTTGCCTCTCTCTGCCTGCCAGCTTCCACCGCCTGGAGTTTGACCCAGTGGGAGGGGGGGAGATGAAGCGAGAAGAACACGCTGTTTTCTTCCACTCCTCCTCCTCCCCCTCTCCCTCCTCCTCCCCCTCTCCCTCCTCCTCCTCCTTTTCCTCCTCTGTTACCTCCACCTCCGCCTCCCTCTCCTCCTCTCCCCCATCCTCTTCCTCCTCCTTCTTGCTCCACAACACCACGGATCATCCCACATCAGTCCTTACCAGCCCTGCAAGCTTTCCAGCAGCAGGGGGGACGGCAGCAGGAGCAGGGGCGAGGGGGCTAGGGGAGCTTCTGGAAGGCCGGGAGATGCGTGCAGTGGCAGAGGGTGGGGGTGACAGTAAGGGGGCCTAGCTTGTGTTGTGGGGTGACAGTAAGGGGGTCTAGCTCGTTTGGAGGGGTGGTAGTAAGAGGGCTTCTTTCAGTGCGAGGGCTTGTGTTGATACAAAGAGGGGCATGGCTTGAGCAAACGCTGAGCTTAGCTTCATCATGGAGGGGTTATGGATGGTACGGGAATTTTACCATACATGGAGGGGAGTATGAGTGAGGGCATGAGGGCATCTAGGAGTGTGATGTGGTTCCTGGTTGGCTCGTCCAGTCCAGTCAGTGTCTGATGCGGAGTCATCTCATCCGTCTAGTCTGTCTTATCCTCTTTCTCAGCATAGAGCTCTCTCTGATGACCCGCCTTTTGACCCTGAGATGAGATGAGAGGTTTCAGGTTCGGGTCGAGGTGGGTTGGGTTGTTGTGAATATGTGCTGTAAGTGGCTGATGATGGTCTGGATGTGCGACATACGGTACTGAGTGCACGCAAGTGCACTTCGCTTTTGGTACTGTTGTTTTTTCGGCGCAAACACTCGTTGAGCCTTGGTTTCTGTTCTAGAGCTTGTTGGGACCAGGGTTCTGTTGGATTCAAGGGCTTATCTTGTTTGTTGCACTGGAAATACGGTATGGTAGTTGATATTTCTCTCTACTCCACAAGAACTTGCAGTTTGAATTCCTCCTGTGTTCATCACAATCCATTTGGTAGTTGCTTTGCTATGAAGCATGTTTCAAGCTCCTTAGCCATCAAGAATGGTTGTAGTTGTAGATAACATCCATCTTCACTCTGGCACCTTGAGAAACCCGAGTGACTAACCTACGGGTTTGAATCTGGTAGAATACGATTTCATTTCGATCTGCCCTAGTGGTCGAACTTAGGACGTGGGCCCAATCAACTTTGATCTGCTCGATCAGAGGCGATAAAAAACTTCGAGGAAGGCGGGAAACAGATTTCAGGCAATCGGGGGCAATCAGCTGATCGCGATCAGCTGATCGCGCCAACTCAATCAACCGCCTCAAACAGCCCGATCAGACCCGATCAGACACAATCAGCCCCAATCACTTTATTGCATGTGATCGACGATCTGGGCGATGTACGCGAAATGTTACACGCCTCGCCATGAGGTCTCGAAAATCCTTGCGAATACACCCAGATCGGCGAGAACTGTATGCGTGGTGCACACAGAGTGGTTCGAAGGTTTTGGAGCGGACCTTGTGCGGTGCGGGCGATGTTGGCGACATTACCACGATACTGAGATTCGTCCGTCTCGTCAAAGATGGGATACAACTACCAGGTAATGGGCCGACAGTTTTCAAGCAAGAACGTGAAACATTCAAGGAAAATCATCTGTGATCGGGCGGCGCGAGAAAAACGATCACAAGCAATCCGTTCCGACCCAATCCGATCCGATCAGAGCCGATCAAAGTCGATTGGACCCACGTCCTTACACTGCAGGTGAACCCGAAACACTCACCAGCGGGGCTTTCCAAATTCATAAAAATCAGTTTCGCTAATTTCTTCCCCAGCGCGCGCGCGGGAATAAGCAGTTTTCCCTCCTCCTTTCCCAACTTTCTTGCTCCCCTTTCTAACTTTCTCCTTCCACCACCACTAATCACTCGTCGTGACTCGTCACCGTGACTCCACTTTCGTTTCCCTCGTCTGCTCTACCCTTTCTCCCTCCCACTTGCGGCAACACCTGCACGCTTCCCATGTCAGTTTCTGTTGACAGTTTCCAATAAATATTGGAAGCATTGTACCACCCCTGTATATACATTAGCAAGCGACGCAGGTTTGTGCGTTTGGCATTTCTCTTGTGCTCCCATTCGTGAATACCCCGCTTCCTCAATGCTATAGGTTTCCAGTATTCCCATTCTCCTAATGCCCCTCAGAATCGTTCCGCCTTCGCCTTTTAGTTCCCGCTTCACGGCTTCGGTCAGCGCTCATCTGCGCGGTAAAGTCAGCACTCTCACCGCCCCGCGCTTCGCGGTCCCCTTCACCTCTTCCGCCTCCCTCTTCCCCGCAATGGCTGCGCGCAAGCCCCGCCAAGCCACGCTCGCTGCGTTCTTTTCCGCGCCCAAGCGAATGCGCGCGAACGGGACGTCCCCGCCACGGGGAAACAACCCCGCTCCCTCCCCTTCCTCGGACGCGAATCCTGCGCGTGTCGTGGAGGAGAACGAGCGCGCCGCGCCAAGAAACTGCGCCGACACGAGTCAGATACGACCTAACAGCGACAGCGACAGCCTTCCCCGGATAAACCCCGCCCAGTCTTCCCCGCCTAGGTCTCCGCGCGCCAAATCTCCGCCTGGCTTCGCCGCCAAGAGCGTCACCCCCGCGCAGGCTCCCTCCCTGGTAGCCAGCGCAAGCGCAAGCGGGGGAAACCGCAACGGCGTCCCGCTCACTCCGCCGACGCCGCCCGCGGATGCGGCGGCTGGCGCGCAAGCGGGGAAGTTCCCGCCGCTAAGTTCGCTGCTGCGCGAGCCGTCCTGGGCCGCAGCGCTTGGACGGGAGTTCGACGAGCCGTACATGCGGCGGCTCCAGGCGTTTCTGGACGAGGAAGTTTCGCGGAAGGAGCGCGTGTTTCCTCCTGCTGCTTCGGTGTTCGAGGCGCTGAATCGGTGCCCTATGGAGAAAGCGAGGGTTGTGATTATAGGACAGGTGAGGGTGTGATTACAGAGGAGGCGAGGCTGTGAGGCTGTCAGGGCATTGTTGAGTATAGGCAGGCCTAGCCCCCATTGGAACCCCATTCCCCTGCATCCGCTTCTCACCGTCCCAAGCAGGATTCCTACCATGGCGCATGACAGGGCCCCTTGCATGGCGCATGACAGGGCCCCTTGCATGGCGCATGACAGGGCCCCTTGCATGGCGCATGACAGGGCCCCTTGCATGGCGCATGACAGGGCCCCTTGCATGGCGCATGACAGGGCCCCTTGCATGGCGCATGACAGGGCCCCTTGCATGGCGCATGACAGGGCCCCTTGCATGGCGCATGACAGGGCCCCTTGCATGGCGCATGACAGGGCCCCTTGCATGGCGCATGACAGGGCCCCTTGCATGGCGCATGACAGGGCCCCTTGCATGGCGCATGACAGGGCCCCTTGCATGGCGCATGACAGGGCCCCTTGCATGGCGCATGACAGGGCCCCTTGCATGGCGCATGACAGGGCCCCTTGCATGGCGCATGACAGGGCCCCTTGCATGGCGCATGACAGGGCCCCTTGCATGGCGCATGACAGGGCCCCTTGCATGGCGCATGACAGGGCCCCTTGCATGGCGCATGACAGGGCCCCTTGCATGGCGCATGACAGGGCCCCTTGCATGGCGCATGACAGGGCCCCTTGCATGGCGCATGACAGGGCCCCTTGCATGGCGCATGACAGGGCCCCTTGCATGGCGCATGACAGGGCCCCTTGCATGGCGCATGACAGGGCCCCTTGCATGGCGCATGACAGGGCCCCTTGCATGGCGCATGACAGGGCCCCTTGCATGGCGCATGACAGGGCCCCTTGCATGGCGCATGACAGGGCCCCTTGCATGGCGCATGACAGGGCCCCTTGCATGGCGCATGACAGGGCCCCTTGCATGGCGCATGACAGGGCCCCTTGCATGGCGCATGACAGGGCCCCTTGCATGGCGCATGACAGGGCCCCTTGCATGGCGCATGACAGGGCCCCTTGCATGGCGCATGACAGGGCCCCTTGCATGGCGCATGACAGGGCCCCTTGCATGGCGCATGACAGGGCCCCTTGCATGGCGCATGACAGGGCCCCTTGCATGGCGCATGACAGGGCCCCTTGCATGGCGCATGACAGGGCCCCTTGCATGGCGCATGACAGGGCCCCTTGCATGGCGCATGACAGGGCCCCTTGCATGGCGCATGACAGGGCCCCTTGCATGGCGCATGACAGGGCCCCTTGCATGGCGCATGACAGGGCCCCTTGCATGGCGCATGACAGGGCCCCTTGCATGGCGCATGACAGGGCCCCTTGCATGGCGCATGACAGGGCCCCTTGCATGGCGCATGACAGGGCCCCTTGCATGGCGCATGACAGGGCCCCTTGCATGGCGCATGACAGGGCCCCTTGCATGGCGCATGACAGGGCCCCTTGCATGGCGCATGACAGGGCCCCTTGCATGGCGCATGACAGGGCCCCTTGCATGGCGCATGACAGGGCCCCTTGCATGGCGCATGACAGGGCCCCTTGCATGGCGCATGACAGGGCCCCTTGCATGGCGCATGACAGGGCCCCTTGCATGGCGCATGACAGGGCCCCTTGCATGGCGCATGACAGGGCCCCTTGCATGGCGCATGACAGGGCCCCTTGCATGGCGCATGACAGGGCCCCTTGCATGGCGCATGACAGGGCCCCTTGCATGGCGCATGACAGGGCCCCTTGCATGGCGCATGACAGGGCCCCTTGCATGGCGCATGACAGGGCCCCTTGCATGGCGCATGACAGGGCCCCTTGCATGGCGCATGACAGGGCCCCTTGCATGGCGCATGACAGGGCCCCTTGCATGGCGCATGACAGGGCCCCTTGCATGGCGCATGACAGGGCCCCTTGCATGGCGCATGACAGGGCCCCTTGCATGGCGCATGACAGGGCCCCTTGCATGGCGCATGACAGGGCCCCTTGCATGGCGCATGACAGGGCCCCTTGCATGGCGCATGACAGGGCCCCTTGCATGGCGCATGACAGGGCCCCTTGCATGGCGCATGACAGGGCCCCTTGCATGGCGCATGACAGGGCCCCTTGCATGGCGCATGACAGGGCCCCTTGCATGGCGCATGACAGGGCCCCTTGCATGGCGCATGACAGGGCCCCTTGCATGGCGCATGACAGGGCCCCTTGCATGGCGCATGACAGGGCCCCTTGCATGGCGCATGACAGGGCCCCTTGCATGGCGCATGACAGGGCCCCTTGCATGGCGCATGACAGGGCCCCTTGCATGGCGCATGACAGGGCCCCTTGCATGGCGCATGACAGGGCCCCTTGCATGGCGCATGACAGGGCCCCTTGCATGGCGCATGACAGGGCCCCTTGCATGGCGCATGACAGGGCCCCTTGCATGGCGCATGACAGGGCCCCTTGCATGGCGCATGACAGGGCCCCTTGCATGGCGCATGACAGGGCCCCTTGCATGGCGCATGACAGGGCCCCTTGCATGGCGCATGACAGGGCCCCTTGCATGGCGCATGACAGGGCCCCTTGCATGGCGCATGACAGGGCCCCTTGCATGGCGCATGACAGGGCCCCTTGCATGGCGCATGACAGGGCCCCTTGCATGGCGCATGACAGGGCCCCTTGCATGGCGCATGACAGGGCCCCTTGCATGGCGCATGACAGGGCCCCTTGCATGGCGCATGACAGGGCCCCTTGCATGGCGCATGACAGGGCCCCTTGCATGGCGCATGACAGGGCCCCTTGCATGGCGCATGACAGGGCCCCTTGCATGGCGCATGACAGGGCCCCTTGCATGGCGCATGACAGGGCCCCTTGCATGGCGCATGACAGGGCCCCTTGCATGGCGCATGACAGGGCCCCTTGCATGGCGCATGACAGGGCCCCTTGCATGGCGCATGACAGGGCCCCTTGCATGGCGCATGACAGGGCCCCTTGCATGGCGCATGACAGGGCCCCTTGCATGGCGCATGACAGGGCCCCTTGCATGGCGCATGACAGGGCCCCTTGCATGGCGCATGACAGGGCCCCTTGCATGGCGCATGACAGGGCCCCTTGCATGGCGCATGACAGGGCCCCTTGCATGGCGCATGACAGGGCCCCTTGCATGGCGCATGACAGGGCCCCTTGCATGGCGCATGACAGGGCCCCTTGCATGGCGCATGACAGGGCCCCTTGCATGGCGCATGACAGGGCCCCTTGCATGGCGCATGACAGGGCCCCTTGCATGGCGCATGACAGGGCCCCTTGCATGGCGCATGACAGGGCCCCTTGCATGGCGCATGACAGGGCCCCTTGCATGGCGCATGACAGGGCCCCTTGCATGGCGCATGACAGGGCCCCTTGCATGGCGCATGACAGGGCCCCTTGCATGGCGCATGACAGGGCCCCTTGCATGGCGCATGACAGGGCCCCTTGCATGGCGCATGACAGGGCCCCTTGCATGGCGCATGACAGGGCCCCTTGCATGGCGCATGACAGGGCCCCTTGCATGGCGCATGACAGGGCCCCTTGCATGGCGCATGACAGGGCCCCTTGCATGGCGCATGACAGGGCCCCTTGCATGGCGCATGACAGGGCCCCTTGCATGGCGCATGACAGGGCCCCTTGCATGGCGCATGACAGGGCCCCTTGCATGGCGCATGACAGGGCCCCTTGCATGGCGCATGACAGGGCCCCTTGCATGGCGCATGACAGGGCCCCTTGCATGGCGCATGACAGGGCCCCTTGCATGGCGCATGACAGGGCCCCTTGCATGGCGCATGACAGGGCCCCTTGCATGGCGCATGACAGGGCCCCTTGCATGGCGCATGACAGGGCCCCTTGCATGGCGCATGACAGGGCCCCTTGCATGGCGCATGACAGGGCCCCTTGCATGGCGCATGACAGGGCCCCTTGCATGGCGCATGACAGGGCCCCTTGCATGGCGCATGACAGGGCCCCTTGCATGGCGCATGACAGGGCCCCTTGCATGGCGCATGACAGGGCCCCTTGCATGGCGCATGACAGGGCCCCTTGCATGGCGCATGACAGGGCCCCTTGCATGGCGCATGACAGGGCCCCTTGCATGGCGCATGACAGGGCCCCTTGCATGGCGCATGACAGGGCCCCTTGCATGGCGCATGACAGGGCCCCTTGCATGGCGCATGACAGGGCCCCTTGCATGGCGCATGACAGGGCCCCTTGCATGGCGCATGACAGGGCCCCTTGCATGGCGCATGACAGGGCCCCTTGCATGGCGCATGACAGGGCCCCTTGCATGGCGCATGACAGGGCCCCTTGCATGGCGCATGACAGGGCCCCTTGCATGGCGCATGACAGGGCCCCTTGCATGGCGCATGACAGGGCCCCTTGCATGGCGCATGACAGGGCCCCTTGCATGGCGCATGACAGGGCCCCTTGCATGGCGCATGACAGGGCCCCTTGCATGGCGCATGACAGGGCCCCTTGCATGGCGCATGACAGGGCCCCTTGCATGGCGCATGACAGGGCCCCTTGCATGGCGCATGACAGGGCCCCTTGCCCCCTCATGGCGCATGACAGGGCCCCTTGCATGGCGCATGACAGGGCCCCTTGCATGGCGCATGACAGGGCCCCTTGCATGGCGCATGACAAATCTTGGGTCCGACCTTGCTCCATAATGCACCGTATCCCTTCTGCTTTACCCCCCCCTCTGAACACCTCTTATCCCACCCCACATTAGCCCCCTTCACCGACTTGCTTCCCCTCTTCCCTCTTTTATCCGACTCGACCCATACCAGAGTCCCCTTCGAGCCAGGTGTTTCGTGCCCCATTCTAGTCCTTTCTTTCTACCTTTCCCTTCCTGCATCCTGGCAGATCGCATATCACGGCCCCGGGCAGGCCATGGGGTTGAGTTCTTCCAGGCCACGCCTTAATCACTTCCCCCTATGTTCTTGCACCCCATTCTCCCCCCCCCCCCCCCCCCCCCCGCCCCTCCCCCCCCACCACATTCTCCCCTCTCTCTCACGGCTCCTACCAGGACCCATACCATGGCCCAGGGCAGGCTGTGGGGCTGAGTTTCTCGGTGCCACGTGGCACGCCGCTGCCGTCGTCGTTGCAGAATGTGTTCAAGGAGATGCGCAGCGACGGCAGCATTGCTGCCATGCCGGCGCACGGCTGCCTGCGCCACTGGGCCGACCAGGTGAGTTCTTTCGAACAGCGTAATGCGTTCAGGAATTGTGCGCAGTGGTGGCACTATTGCTGCTATGCCGGCCCATAAGCTGTTTGTGCTGCTGGGCCCACGTGGTGGGTTCCTTGAGCTGCCTTGAAATAGTAAAGGAGATGCACAATGACGGCATAATTGCTGCCATGCCTGCCCACGGCTGCCTGCGCCAATGGGCGGAGCAGGTGGGGTGGGCGTGGTGGGTGCAGTGCGGTGCTGTGCGTGAGTGTAGGGTATGCTGGGTGGGGTGGTGTGTTAGCTGGAGTGGGGATAATGGGTGGATTTCCGGGCGCACAGTTTGCACTAATGTACAATGCCATGGGACTACTGGTGGCATATGAGCATGGATTTTGGGTGTTAAACTCTTTTCTGCACCCGCTCCACCTCTTTCTGTCTCCTTCTCACATGCTGAACCACATTTTCTTCCCTTGCTGTGTGTCTCCTTCTCTTCCTGTATGCTTTCCTATCAGGGAGTGCTTCTCCTCAACACAGTGTTGACCGGTGAGTGTGGGTGAAGGAGGAGAGGTTGTCACCACATATCGCACTGCACACCCATCGCATCCTTTTCAAAGCACGCTTGCCATTTGAGGAGTCCATCAGTAGGGCTGATTTCCCCATCTGGCGCCCTCCTTGTTTGTTCACCTCTCCCAATCACTTGACACACACACTCTCCGCTTGATTGGCCTACTCCCCTTCGTCGCAGTGAGAGCCCACGAAGCCAATTCACACGCCAAGAAGGGGTGGGAGCAATTTACAGATGCCACGATTCGTGCACTTGCCTCGCAGCGACCCAAAACCACTTCTTCGGCCTCCTCTCCCTCTCCCCCTCTCATCTTCCTCCTCTGGGGTAATCATGCCAAGACCAAGGCAAAGTGAGTCAGGTTGTATGAAAGCGTCTCTCTAAGCTTATTGCCTTCACCTTTCTGCCGGAAATCTTTTAATATTGAAGTTCCAATAGCCTGCTTTGTGCCATTCCTGCGTAGACGAGCCACACTTATTGCCCAGCATTATTGTTGTTATCGTCCCATGATGCTGTTGTGCCTCGTGATTCTGGTATAACTTTCGCTTTGACCCTCCCAACGTCCAGGGTGATTCCTCCTGGCTCAAACGTGGTCTTGCTATCTTCAGCACATCCATCGGGCCTGAGTGCGCACAGGGGATTCTTTGGTTCAGCGTAAGTGGTGCAGCAGCACTCAATTGTTGCTTGGGTTGCTATGGTAATTTGATATTGGATGCATCTGCATGTGTGTTTCTCAATGCATCTCTCCTGTGCTGTGCTACTATTTTGTTCAGGCACTTTTCCAAGGTCAACAACATACTTGTGTCGAGTGGACAATCACCAATCCAATGGTCTTCTGATTGAAGTTGGATTCATATTGAGTGTATAGTCTGTTCATGTGTTTTGATTGCATTGATTGCTCTAGAGCAAGGAATGAATGAGTTTTGTTTTGGTGCAAAAGATAGTACTTGGCAGCAAGGATGGCAGATGTCCACTAGTTGGTATGCAGAGCAGCAGAGAATATTGCTAACTGAAAATGAGGGTGAATAATGAATATGGGATAATTTGCATATGATATGAGGTAAAATCTGGAGGTGTGGAAGCTGGTCAGGTATGAATTATGCATGAATAAGTTTCCTGCCTGAGTAGGATCGACTTCTTATTTGCAGCTGACTTTTTGGCATGAAATACTTAGCTTTATGGTAATTCTCAACTTATGCAGTACATAAGCTGGTGTAACGATCGCGGAGACCCACCTTTGTGCTCGCTCTCAGCCCGTTTCTTATGTCGAGTATTTTTCTCGTCACCAAAGAATCAAAGATTCGGAGGAATTTTGGTGGTGTGAAGGAAATCTGTCCATGGGTGCGGGAGAAGCTACCACCAAGATCCATTCTACACCGCACTTGGTGAATGAAATCATGATCCGGATTTCGCGGAAGTCCAGCTAACGAGATTGGGTCATGCTGGCATTCAATCAATCGACGCGCCGCGTGTTGAGCTTTCACCTTCATCAGTTGGCATTCTGTGCCCCTTCACATCAAAATTTGCTGCAAACGCACACTGCTCGCCACCGCGTCGGCATGGGCTTGGGATTGATTTGGTGGGACATCGATGGCAGGCACAGCAGCAAAGGTATAGAGAGAATTACTGTAGAACCTGGTTTGGTGATTCCTTCTTACTCGCGTGGTCTCGAATTACTCGAGTGGCCACCAAATTTGGTGATAATTACTCGAGTGGCCACGCCAGGGGATTCCCGCTGGCTTTTTTTCCCGGCGCATTACCCTACAAGGGTTCGTATCCCCGAAACCTCTGTATTGATAATTGCGCGATTTTCAGTTTACGCGATAATTTATAATGGATGTTTTCGCGTGATGATTTATATTCGAAATTTATGTTCGTGACTCTATATGACCGCGCCTGATTGGACGCGCATATAGTCGACCAATCATGCGCGGTCATTAATGGTCGGGCACATCATATATTAATGCCCGATCATAAATTTCCGCGATCATAAACTGCAATGCCCGGGCGTCAATGCGCGGGACATTAAATGACCGCGCATGATTGGTTGATTTTATTCGCGGTGCTTTGTTTTGCAATGCGCGTCTAATCAGGCGCGGTCATATGGGGTCACGATCATAAAATTTCGGATATTGAAGATCGCGCATTAATCAGTACAGAGGTTTCAGGGATACAAACCCTTGTAGGGTAATGCGCCGGGTAAAAGAAAAACCAGCGGGAATCCCCTGGCGTGGCCACTCGAGTAATTATCACCAAATTTGGTGGCCACTCGAGTAATTCGAGGCCACGCGAGTAAGGCTGAATCACCGAACCAGGTTCTACAGTAATTCTCTATGGGCTTGTTTGAACATCCCGAAATTTCGCGAAGCCCGAAGAGCTCCAGATTGCCATCTGGCATGTCTAGCATGCATTCGCAGACCCACCAATGAGTATGTAGTCCCAAGCCCATTTCCTCCAATTCGCTGGCGGCCAGGCCCGACCTAGAGACTTCCTCGCAAGCACAGCACACCCTGGAACTTGTCATGCCTGAGGGCAGTGAGGTGAACCTCCATTCTCATCTGGAACCGAGCGAAAATCCTTCAAACCTAAAGCCGTTTCGCCAAACGTCGAATTTCCCGAAACAAGCATTGTTGAGCATGCTTCAAGACATGCCGAACCTCCGTGCCGCGTGGCTAACCATAAGGCAGGCCAGGGTGACCCCCTTCCACCAGCGCCGCCAAATTACCCACAGCACAGCTCAGGCATCCAAAATCCGTTCTGCCAGTCAAGTAGCGTCGCGAACCAGGCGCAAACTGTTGCGCGTCCCACACGGGACACACCCCTTCCGGTTGCGCCATGGCGCATGGATAACCAGGCTGTCCTGAACTTTCCGCCCGCCGCACACACGCCAAACCCCAGGTCCGGGAACTCCAGTCAACTCCCCAGAATCCATCCCGAACCTAAACGGAGCCTCCAAAAAGCTGGGTGGTGTCGTCTGTGTGGTGTAGTCGAACCAAGCTGGACTTTTTCTTTGTTCCAGTTCGGATCATGCTGTTGTACTGTCCTGTCCCTCGCAGAGCCTACTTTGCAGCCTTCCTCGAAGTGACTAGCCTCAGTGCTGGGAGCTCATTCGTTTGTTCGTTTGAACAACCAGCTGAGGTACTTCGTCAGCTGGACTCTCTAATACCACCTGGCCCTTTTAGTCAGTCATACTAGTGTGGTGCAAGTGTAGTGTTGGGCACTTTATCGTTGTAGTTAAGAAGGCGGATTCTGTCATTCCATTGTATGATCTGGCTCCTATTTTCCTACATTAGGTGAGAAAATGTTCGCGTATTGTGGAGGGACTTCTTCCTTGATTTGCGGGACCTCTGGTCAAGGGATCAATATGAAATAGACCACGCACCTTCCAAAAATGTCAGCCCAATTTGTAATTAGCTTTAATCGCCTAACTTCGACTTCTGATATACCTGTTCGTCTGTACTTTAGGTCATAATGCCTCTTAACGAGAAGCGTATCATTTGTTTGAGCTACAAGCTCATCCACGGTAGAATTGTTCCTCAAAATGCTCAATTCTTTCTTAATTGTCTAAATTCCCCTTCCCCTCTTCACACCCCCTTACCCATCCCTCCTCACCCTTTTCTCAGAGCCCCTCCCGTTCCCTTTAGCTCTGGCAGCCGTCCCCGTTATACGTCCGCAGTCTCGTTATGGAGGCATCGGAAGACCGCTCTTCCACCTCCCCAGACCACGACACCCAGCGAGCGGAATCAGCTGCGGCTGCAGCGGCGACTATTTTAGCAGGAGTAGTGTCTCCTGATTCCACCATACCCGGTCTCACACCCATCCCGTCGCGGCGCTTCGCTAGACGTAGCCCGCCACTTGCAGCTCCCCGCGCGCCGCGCACGCTTCGAGTGCCCGACGCCGTCGCCAAGTGGAGCGTACCAGATCCTGCCACGCACGCGTTTGACGTGGATGGCTCGGGGCATCTCGACCAGCCTTTCTCGCCGTCCCCGCGCTCGCCGTCCCCCTACTCCCCGCGCGCGCGCCTCGCGCACTTCTCCAGCCTCCCCGTTCTCACGCTCGCGGAACAAGCCGACTCCGCGCCGCCAGCGTTCCCCAGAGTCGCGGCGCCCTCCTGGTCCGCGTTCGACAGACTCATAGAGGCGGACGGGGCAGATCGTCATAGCTCGTCGGACGATCATTCGCTATCGCATGGTTCTAATTGGCGTCGGCATAGCGTGGGGCATCGCAAGCGTGTTTCCCTCGGGGGCCTGCCGGTTTCGGTCCCTGTTGACGCGATTTCGCACGCCGCCGGTGTCGTTGCAACGTCAGAAGGAGCTGCTGCGGCGGCTGCGGCAGCAGCAGCAGCGGCAGATGCGGTGACGGTGGCTCCGCCGGTGCTAGGAGCAGGAGCAGCGGATAGAGACGGACACTTGCAGCGCGATTGCACGTTGAACGAGGGGATTGCGGGAATTGCGGGGAGCGCGCACCCTCTGTCTCCCTCGCACGCACCGTACGGCGCTTCCCCAGATCCAGATCGTATTTTCACTCACCCCGCCATGACCGATGCTTTCTCACCCGTCTCCCGCTCCTACCGCGAAATCTCGCGCACCGCCAGCAGCGACTCCGCCGCTTTAAGCGACGCGATGGGCGGCTCGAGCATGCTAGAGTTGTCCCTGGATCCAATCGATCGGCCCCCCATGCGGCCGCTTCCGCCCGTGCCAAGCCACGAGCGCCTCGATATGATGGGGTTGGGGGAAAATCTAATCCCGCTGCGCATGGTTCAGGATGGCATGGATCTAGGCGCTTCGGCGATTTCCGCCGCGGTTACCCCGATGCACGGGTCCGCGGGCCGGGGGATTGGCGGGGGAGGGGGGGCGGGCGGGGGAGGAGGCGCGGAGGGGTATTTCTCCCACAGAGTGAAGCTGTTGGTGAGCCATGGAGGGGGGATCGTGCATCAGGCGGGTTACCACCGCTTGCGCTACGTAGGCGGCGAGACGCGCTTGCTGTCCGTGCCGCGCCACATGCGCTTCGTCGATCTGCAGTCGCGGCTGGCGGACATCTACGGCCACAACGTCTTCATCAAATATCAGGTAGCTTTTTTATAATACCAGGGATCTGTGGATTAATTAGCCTCTTGAAAAAGGTCAATTAGGCACTTGCAGTCATTTTGTTGATTGTGTTTCCGAGTTGTATGTTTGTGCATGAGATTCTCCCTCGGCCGCCGGATTTCTCAGCGTACTCCCCTTTCCACCCCGTGCTTCGCGTTGCTTCGTCGATCCGTTTCCATTGGAGAGACCGTTGGAGGGACCGTTGGAGCGACTAATGAAGCGACTGCTGGAGCGACGGTTGGATCAATTGTTGGAGCGACCTCTGAATTGATTTCCGCTTGCCATACCACCCTGCCCCTCCCTCCCCCTCTCCGTCTCTTTCTCTCCCCCACGACCTGTCCCCCTCGCCTTCTTCTCCTTTCCCGCGTGCACACCTGCAGTTGCCAGGAGAAGACCTGGATTCGCTCGTATCGGTGTGCAATGATGAGGATCTCGAGAACATGCTGGAGGAGTGCGACAGGGAGGCGCATAAGGCGTCGGGCGGCCGCCGCGTGCGCATGTTCCTGGGCGGCAGTGCGGGAGCCCTGGCGGTGCAGCATGTGCGGGGGAGCAGCCAGGACGACGGGGAGCGAGCGCGGGGAAGGGAAGGGGGGAGGGAAGGGGGGAGGGAGAGGGAGCGGGAGTGGGAGAAGGAGAGAGAGAGGGAGAGGGATAGGCAGGGGTACGAAGGACGGGGTTATGAGGGTGAGAGGGAGGGGGATTGGGAGGCGGATCGGGAGCGGGAGCGGGAAAGGGAGAGGGAACGGGAGAGGGAGAGGGAGAGGGATAGAGAGCGGGAGAGGGAGAGGGAAAGGGAGCGTGACAGGGAGCGAGATGGGAGAGAGAAGGACAGGGGGAGGGATAGGGAGAGGGAGAGGGATCGTGGCAGAGAGAGGAGCCGGGGGAAGGACAGAGACTGGGAGAGGGAAAGAGAGAGAGAAAGAGAGAGGGAAAGGGAGAGGGAGCGGGATAAGGACCGGGATTGGAGTCGGGAGGAGAGGGAGAAAGAGCGGGAGAAGGAGAGGGAGCGGGACCGCGAAAGAGAGTGGGGGCGGGAGAGGTCGAGGGATAGAGATAGGGACAGGCGTAGGGAGAGGGAGGAGAGGGATCGGGAGAAGGAGCGAGAGTGGGAGCGAGGTGGAGGCAGGGAGAAGAGCAGAGAGCGGGACCGGGATAATGAGAGAAGTCGAGATAAGGATCGGAGCAGGGGAAGGGGAAGAGGTGAGAGGGATAGGAGCAGGGGGAGGAGTAGGGAAAGGGAAACTGGGAGGGATGGAGGGGGGTGGGACCGAGAGCATGAGGTAAGGGGGAGGAGCAGAGGGAGGAGTAGGAGCAGCGAGTGGAAGGAGGAGAGGAGGGAGAGGAGCAGCGAGCGGGGGAGGGACTACGGGGGTGAAAGGGGTGAGGAGGGCAATAGAGAGCGAGAGGGAGAGAGGGATGGGGGGAGAGCGGATAAGGGATGGAACGACGAGGGTGGGCATGTGAGCGAAAGGAGAGAGGGAGGGGGTAGGGGGCAGTTGGTTGTTTGTGAATCCGGAATTCCTGGAATGCAAGGCGACATGATGCGTCAGATAGAGAAGAGAGGTAGTGGTGTTGATGCGGATGTGGCGAGAGAGTTCAGGGCGGAAGCGGGTATTGACAGGAGGAACAGTGCTGGTGCGGAAATGGTTAGTCCTTTCGATGCTGCAAGCAGCGAAGCAGATGCTTTCAGGCGTGTTCCAGCAGGCCCAGCAGCAGCAGCACCCGCACCAGAAGCAGCAGCGGCAGCCGGGCTCCCGTTAGCAAGCATCAGCCCTGCAGAATACGGGTCCAATTCTGCCCATACTCCCGCACACCCCATGCCCGTGCCACCACACATTCACTCCCTGACAGTGCTGCAGCCCTCACCCCTCTCACAAGCCTCACAGCTCTCTCCAGGCCGCAAACACATGCTGCCGCCGACCCTTGAACCGCCCTCTATGGCCCTCGCAACTATCCCTTCTGGTATTAGCTACAACCCAGGCCTTTCTCCCCCTCCTCCTGCTTCTGATGCTGCTGCTACATCCGCTGCTGCTGCTGCGGCTGTAGCTGCTGGTGCGACAGCAGCTGCTGCAGCCGCGCCTGCAGTCGCCGCCTCGTCTCTGATCCACCACCCGTTTGGCGGCGCTTTGGAGGCATACAGCGGCAGCAGCAGCAGCAGCAAGAGCAGCAGCAGCAGCAGTGTGGATCGGTCTTTCATACGGCCGTCCCTCCCTGGGAGTCCGTCCGATCGCGGGCATGGGCATGGACAGGGACAGTGGTATGGGCATGGGCAGGTGCATGCGCAGGGGCAGGGACACGGGCAGGGGCAGGGGCACGGTCTGTCTCAGGTTCTTTCTCCTAAGAACCACCTCACGCCTATTCGATTAGGCCTACGCTCTGCCTCCACCTCCTCTTCTGCAGCTAACTCAACTGTCTCCTCCCCCACGCGATCTGCCGCTGCCGCTGCTGCTGCGGCGGCGGCTGCTGCGGTTGGTATGGGTGGTGTGAGTGGTGGAGTGCGGTTCATGCAGTCAAGGTCGCACGGGGAGGATCATGATATAGATAGCCCACTCTTGAGAGAATTTGCTGCAGGGCCTCTGTCGCCCATGCGACAATCTGTCTCTGCTGCTGCTCTGGACTATCATCAGCCCCAGCAGTATCAGCATCAGCATCACCTGCTGATGCAACAGCAACAGCAGCAACAGCATCTCCAGCATCAGCAGCATCAGCTGCAGCAGCATCATCAGTTGCATAGAGCCCCATCCGCCCCAGTTACAGCATTGCCGGTTGCTGCTGCTGCTGCTACTGCTGCTGCTGCTTCTGCTGTTACTGCTGCTGCTGGGCAGCAGGAGGCGCAGTGGTGGCATGGATCCCCGCCCGCACCTGCCCCGATTTCTGGACTCGTTTCTCCTGCGCTTCTCTCTGCACCGCTCTCTACCTCACCGCTTTCTGCTGCACCGCTCTCCACCGTGCCGGTCTCGCATCTGCTAGCCCCTCGGCCTCCATTTGTGCAGCAATTTGAATCTCCAACGACACTCCACTTGAGTCCACATGCTGTTTCGCTTGCTGCCGCACACACTGCCTCACATGCTGCCCCGCATGCTCTTACACCTGCTGGTTCGCATGCCATCACACATGCAGGTGCACCGCTGCTGTTACACCACGGTATGCCTGCTGCTGTCGGGGCAGCGCAAGGGCAGGGGCAGGGGCATGGGCTGGGGCAGCAGCAGCAGGTGGGGCAGCAGCAGGTGGACCAGCAACAGGGACACAGACAGTCGCTAGCTATGCAGGTGGCAGTGCAGTCAGCACCGCTGCCTATTCAGATGCCTGTAGGCCTGGCAGCCCAGCAACAGCCCCTGCAGCAGCCGCTGCTGCCACAGCCGCTAGGGGGATTACCTGCTCCTGCTGCCCCTGCTGCCCCTGCTGCCCCTGCTGCCCCTGCTGCTCCTGCTGCTCCTCACCCCGTGCCCGCTGCTGCTGTGCCTGTATCGGGCACCACAGAACAGGGAGCGCTAGGCGGCAGGCAGAGCAGTGTGGAGGAGAAAGAGATGGTATCAAACGCTGGAGACTGGGACACAGCGCTGCTGACTCTCATAGGCGATCATAGCGACCTGCATGGGCAGGAACAGCAGCAGAAGAATACACATGAGAACTCACAAGCCCGTGCCACTGTGCCCCATGCTGTGGTCCCAGCGCTTGGGGAGAATGCAGGGGAAGTTGGGAAGGTGGGGGTTGCTGGTGTGTGTTCAGAAGTGGTGTGTGGAGGTGGGGAGAGAGGTGGTGGTGGTGGTGGTGGTGGTGCGGTTGGTGTGGAGATGTATGGGGGTGCGGGGCTTGTTGGGACGGAGTGTGTTGTGATTGGGGAGGAAGGGACACCAGACACGCAGGTGCTGCATCACCACCAGCAGCAGCAGTTGCAGCAGCAGCAGCAGCAGCAGCAGCAGCAGCAGCAGCAGCAGCAGCAGCAGCAGGAACAGCAGCAGCATCAGTTGCAGCTGCAGCAGCAGTTGCAGGAACAGCAGCATCAGCAGCAGTTGCAGCTGCTGCAGAATCAGCAGCATCAGCAACAACAGCAGCAGCTCCTGCAGCAGCAGCAGCAATGGGCACATGCAGCGCATGAGGATGCAAACCAAGACTCAGAAGAGGAGTGGACATCAGAACAGCTCCAAAGGCGCTTCTCAAACGCCTCCTCTGCCTTTCTGCAGGACGACGCTTCTTCCGAGCCATACCCTGTAGCCTCCATACCATCTGTCCCGTCCATACCATCCATTCCATCCTTACCGTCTGTGGCATCTGTAGCATCTGTAGCGTCACCTGATTCCGCGCCTGCTACAGCTGCTACAGCCGTACCCGCTGTGTTCCCAGGCTCAGTGGCTTTGCCACATCCTGCAGTACCCATTCCTGGTGTAGCAGCAGCAGCAGCAGGCGGCGAGTTGGTAGGGGCAGATATGACTGGAGGTGTTAGATCTAGCAGTGTTCTGCCCCCATGGGCCAGCCCTGAAATTGGTGCTGCTGCGGCTGCCGCTTTTCCTGCAGCAGCTGCAGCAGCAGCAGGAGGAGGAGTTGTGACAGCAGCTGAGGGAGGGGCAGGGGAGGGAGCAAGGGGAGGGGTGGGAGCGTGGGAGGCTACGGGTGGGGGAAGCTCTGTTGTTGGACCTTCAACTGGGGTTGAGGAGCAACAGATGCAGCCGCAGCAGCCGCCGCCGCCGCCGCAGCAGCAGCAGCAGCAGCAGCAGCAGCAGCAGCAGCAGCAGCAGCAGCAGCAGCAGCAGCAGCAGCAGCAGCAGCAGCAGCAGCAGCAGCAGCAGCAGCAGCAGCAGCAGCAGCAGCAGCAGCAGCAGGAGCTTAGGGAAGTGGCTGTACCTTTCTCTGCACCTCAGTTTCCCTCCACCTGGTCGCCTGTTCACTCTGCAGCGTCTCAGGCAGTGCTACACGCAGCAGCAGGAGCAGGGGTGGCGGCAGGAGTGGGCGCAGTGGGGCAGGTGGTGGAGAATTTGGGGCGACATGCTGGGCTGAACGTGCAGGTGATGCTGCAGCAACAGCAGCTGCAGGAGCAGCAGCAGCAGCAGCAGCAGCAGCAACAGCAGCTGCTGGAGCAGCAGCAGCAGCAGCAACAGCAACAACAGCAGCTGCTGGAGCAGCAGCAGCACCAACAACAACAACAATTGCAGCAACAGCAACAGCAGCAACAGCAACAATCTCAGCAGCAGCAGCAGCAGCAGCAGCAGCAGCAGCAGCACCAATCTCAGCAGCAGCAGCAACAGCTGCAGCAACAACCACAGCAGCAGCAGAGTCCTTCCCTTGTGTCCACCACCACCTACCATCTCTCACCGTCCTTCACCCCTGACTTGGCCCACTCTACCTCTCTGCACACCCTGCCACCTTCGTTGGAAGTAGCATCATCACACGTTTCGGTTGCAACAGCACCAGCAGCAGCACCGGCAGCAGCACTAGCAGCATCAGCACTTGGAGCATCAGCAGTGGGACCTTCACCTCTGCCGTTTGCTGCAGCTGCTCCTGCTGCTGCCCTCGCTCCTGAGAGAACCGCTGCTGCCCCTGCTGCCCCTGCTCCCGCCACTGCTGCTGCCCCTGCCGCCCCTGCCGCCCCTGCCGCCCCTGCTGCTCCTGCTTCCACATTTTCCACTCTTCCTACTGCTGCTCCTCCAACCCTGCCTGCTGCTGCTGCCGCTCCTGGTGTTTCACCCGGAGTGCAACTCCCATACTCCCCACGTCTTACTGCCTTGCCCATGCATGAACCGCCCAGCTCCCTCTCCCTCGCTCCCTCTGCTTTGCCTGCTGCCTCACATGCCCTGCCACCTAGCACAACACACACAACGCCCTCGCACATATCATCCCATGTTGGGCCCAAGGTTGCTACTCCAGGGCAAGCGGCGACAGAATTCGCAACAGCAGCAGCTGCAGCAGCGGCTGTAGCAGCAGGAACAGCAGCAGCAGCAGCCTCCCCAGCAGCAGCAGAAACAGAATTTCCTGTTGCTGCTGAATCGGCGACATCAGTACTCGTGCCGATTGTCTCTCTCCCGTCTTCTCCTGTGCAGCCCCCCAGGGCCCTTCCCAGGCGCCCATCCGCCTCCGCCCTTGCTGCTCTAGACAACACCGCGCTCCCCCCTGTGCTCTCTTGGCTGGGTGCAGCAGCATTAGAGCAGCAGCAGCAGCAGCAGCAATCACTGGTGCAAGGTCAGCAGTACCACCTGTACCAGCAGGAGCAGCAGCAGCAGCAGGGACACCAGCAGCAGCAGCAGGGACACCAGCAGCAGCTGCAGGCAGGGCCGGGTGAATCTGGACCGTCCATGCACTTTGGATCTTCCGCTGCTTTCTTTCCCCACTCCATCTCTGATCCAGCTGTCACCCCCTTCTCACATGCTCCCACCTACCCCCCACATTCCTCCATGTCTATCCAGTTACCACCTGCACACCCTGCTGTAACACCCACCTCCACCAGCCAATCAATCGTCGCCACGTCAGCGCTCGGAAATCCTGTAGCTGCATCTGTAGCAGAACCTGTAGTTGCATCTGTAGCAACCCTTGTAACCGCTGCCTCTGTACCTACCTCTGCTGCCATTGCACTCCCCGCCCTTCCTCCCACCTCCGCCTCCTCCTCTCCTCCGCCCCCTCCTCCCTCCTCCTTTCCCAACCTGCCGTCGCCTTCAGCACTCCTCCCATCGCCTCTCACCCCCCACCCAGCCCCAGATCTCTATGCCAGCGGCTCGTCAGAGCGCCACGTGGCAGTTGACGTGGCATCAATGGTCCTGGGCAGCCTAGGCATGTCTATAGAGCATCTATCCCCTGGCGGATCCGCCTTTCACGGGTCTGCTTCTCTCTCCCACACCACAGCCAGCAGTAGCGGGGCTGTCTCATCCGGTCTCTCCTCTTCCTCTCTATCTAGTGATCCTGCCACTCCGCCCTTAGGCTCTCTGAATGTGTACTCGGCTCAGTTAGGGGCGGCAGGGGAAGGGGTAGGGTTCGGTGCTGGTGGTGCAACTGCTGGGGGTAGCAGTGGTGGTGGTGGTGGGTGGAATAGGGGCGACGGGGATGCTGATGCTGATGCTGCTGGTGCGACGGTTGTTGTTGCTGGTGATGCTAGTGCTGGCGTGGCAGTGGAGGGAAGGTTAGGCGAAGGTTCTTCTGTGGGGCAAGGAGAGCGTGAGGTAGGAGGTGGGGGTGGGCCAGAGGCAGGAGGGCGGATGGGCGGGAACGAATCTGCTGTGCCTGGTTTTGAAAGGTCGAGTGCGGTTGTTGGAGTGGACGTAGCTGCGCGTGCAGAGACAACAAACGATGCGTCTGCTGCGGCTGCTGCTGCTTCGGCTGCTGCTACTTCAGGTGCTGTTCCTGCAGATGCTGTAGCGACAGGCAGTGACAGTGAGGGGAAGAGGGGCTTGATTGACAGTGCTTCTCTTGAGCGTGTGGTCCTGGAAGGCAAGGCAGAGCAAGGGCAGCAGGTGCAAGAGAAGGAGGAGAGGGAGGAGCGTGGTGGTGGGGGGGGTGAGAGCGTGGGGAGAGACGGGGCGGCAGCAGCAGGGGCAGCGGCAGGGGCAGCGGCAGGAGCAGCGGTAGGGGTAGCGGTAGGGGCGACGGCGAGTGGGGTGGTAGGGGCAGCGAGTGGGCAGGTGGTGGGGATGGAGAAAGAGGTGGTGGAGCGCATGGAAGCTGCTCTGTCCTCCAAGGTCCGTCACCTCCTTCACTCTCTCTCTTTCTCACTCACTCACTCCCCTCTCCCTGCTCCCCTCCCTCCCCTCCACCCCCTCACTCCTGTCATTTTGCTGCTCTCCTATTCCTAACTCCCGCTTCCTACACGCGAGTTGCCTCCTCTTGCTTGCCCTTGCATGTGGCTCTGAGTATATGCACTCCACTCCTTGCTCACTCTCCGTTCCGTGGTCAAACAATTTGCGTTTCTCAACTGTCTGACCCTCTCAACGGACCGGCATCTGCCCTGGATGCCTGCCTGATTGCCTGATTGCCCGATTGCCTGATTGCCTGATTGCCTGATTGCCTGATTGCATGGTTACAGGGGATAGGAGAGGCATCAGGCGGAGCAGCAAGAGCGGATCCGAGTGGCATGCCGGTGGTGCCGGTGGGACGGCCGCCCACAGCGCCTGTGGGAGCCGGGAGGGAGGCCGAGGCAGAGGCCATAAGACAAGGGCTGCAGGTAATGCCTTGCTGTGTTCCTGCTTTCTCTGCTCCCTCTGCTCCCTCTGCTCCCTCTGCGCTCTCTGCTCCCTCTGCTCCCTCTGCGCTCTCTGCTCCCTCTGCTCTCTCCCCTCCCCTTCTATTTGTCCCGCCCCACAACCATCCCATAGCTGACCTCCATATCTTCCACCCCTTGCTCCCTGTCCAACTCTGTTTCCTTACCTCCTACCCTACCGATCCTAACCCATGCAACTTTTTGATTTCCCCCCTCCACCCTCTCTCCACCTACCTTACTCCCCAGACAGCGAACGAGGACTTGGAGGAATTGAGGGAGCTAGGTTCAGGCACGTATGGCACAGTGGTGCATGGCAAGTGGCCACCACTCACTCGTGCACTCCCCTCCCTGCCAATTCCTGCCTCTTCCTTGCTTCCCTTGTCTTTTCCCTCCCCACCCTCCCGTCCCCCCAGACCATAGCAAACGAGGACTTGGAGGAGCTGAGGGAGCTGGGGTCGGGCACATATGGCACGGTGGTGCATGGCAAGTGGCGCGGCACAGACGTGGCAATCAAGAGAATCAAGGCGTCCGTGTTTGACGGCCGGTCCTCCGAGCAAGAGCGCATGGTGGGTGCATTGCAGTGCAGTGCAGTGCAGTGCATTGCAGTGCAGTGCAGTGCAGCTAAGGGGCTTTGGTGGGAAAAGTGGGGGTTGAGGGGGGGGGAGAGGGAGGGGAGGAGGGTTTGGGGGCTTCTGTGGGGAAGGTTGGGGGGTGCGAGGAATGGGATGAAGGAGCAAAAGGGTGTGCGTGGGTGAATTATAAAGTGGGTGAGGTGGGAAAGGGCACGCGAGCTCCAAACTTTGTCTTCTCTTCACCAGCTCTTACTCACGGCGCTCTCCTGTTTTTGAGGGGCCTTGCTCTACCCACCTCGTCCTGCTCCTCCCCTCCCCTCCTTATCCCACTCCTCCCCTGGCCAGAGACATCGGATCTTCGAGGGGGGCATCCGACTTATATAGTTGTCCGAATTGTTTCGGCTCTCACTCACTTGCGCCCGAAATATTTCTCCCGCTCACCTTGCCCCCTCTCACTCCCTCTCCCTCTATTCTTATGCCGCCTCAAAAATTGCTTCCACTGACCCTGTCCCCGTCCAACCCCCTTTTCCCACCACCTTCCCACCTCTCTCCTCCTTGCTCACGCACCCCAGCAGGTGGGGGACTTCTGGCGGGAGGCGTGTCTCTTAGCCGGGCTGCACCATCCGAACGTGGTGGCGTTTTACGGGGTGGTGAAGGACGGAGCAGACAACAGCCTGGCGACGGTCACGGAGTTCATGGTCAACGGCAGCCTCAAGAGCGTGCTGCAGCGCAAGGGCCGGTATGTGTGTGGGGGTCCTTTCCCCCTCTCCTCTACCCCCTCCCCTCCCCACTTCCTCCCTCCCTGTCCTCTTTTCTTTTGGGCCTCCTATATGAAGGCAGACAACAGCCTGGCAACGGTCACAGAGTTCATGGTTAATGTCAGCCTCAAGAGCGTGCTGCAGCGCAAGGGCCGGTGCGTGCTGTGCTGTGCCGTGCTGTGCTGTGCTGTGCTCTGCGGTTCTTTCTTCTCTTCTGGGCTGCTTTTTCTTCTCCTGCCCCTGCTGTTTCTCTTCTCTTTTTGCTTGTTTCTTTCTTTCATTCTTTCTTGTCTGCTCAGTGTGACTCCTCCCCAGAACACTCTTCCCTGTGCTAGCCCTCCACACTCTTCCCTTGGCGTTTCCACTCACCTGTATCACGCGCGCGCTCCTCCCCTTCCCCTCCCCTTACCCTCCGCTCGTTATGCAGGTCCATTGACCGGCGCAAGAGGGTGATGATAGCCATGGACGCGGCGTTTGGCATGGAGTATCTGCACTCGCGCAACATCAGGAGTCTTGCCCATCTCCCCCCTCCCTTTCCCCCTCCTCCCTTCTGTATCCCGCCCCCGCCCCCATCCCCCTTCCCTGTCCCCGCAGCTCCATTGACCGGCGCAAGCGCGTGATGATAGCAATGGACGCGGCGTTTGGCATGGAGTATCTGCACTCGCGCAACATCCCCACTCCTCTCTCTCCCCCATCCCCTCTCCCCACCCCTGTCCCCCTCCCTTCTCCCCTTCCCCCTCCTTCCCCCCCCGCAGGTCCATCGACAGGCGCAAGCGCGTGATGATAGCCATGGACGCGGCGTTTGGAATGGAGTATCTGCACTCGCGCAACATCGTGCACTTTGATCTCAAGTGCGACAACCTCCTCGTCAACCTGCGCGACCCAGCGCGCCCCGTCTGCAAGGTACGGAGATGGTGACGGGTGACGGGTGTCAGGTGTCTGCAGGCATGCGCAGCATGCATGCTGCCCTGCTGCACGGTGCTTCAGTTGCTCGTGAGAATTCTCAATAGTGTCTGAGCTGCCTGGTCCTTGCACTCCACGTTCCCCCGCCCTCATCTCATCTCATCTCATCGCACTGCCTGCCCTCATTCGTTTACCCTCCTTCGCCCCTCCCTCTCCACCTTCCCCCCTCCCCCTTCCCTTTTCCTCCGCCCGTCGTTGTATTCGTGTTCGTGTGCATGGGTGTGGTGTGGTGCCATGCGGTGCATGGGAGCAGGTGGGCGACCTGGGGCTGTCCAAGGTGAAGCACAAGACGATGGTGTCGGCAGGCATGCGCGGCACTCTGCCCTGGATGGCGCCTGAGCTGCTGGACGGACACAAGAACGTGACCGACAAGGTGAGAGGGGGATGGGAGAAGGTGAGCGGGGAATGGGAGAAGGTGAGAGGGAAATGTGAGAAGGTGCAAGAAAGGCATGCATTCTTTGCATACTACAGCCCTGGTGGCGCCTGAGCTGCTGGACGGTCACAAGAACGTGACAGACGAGGTGAGAGGGGGATGGGAGAAGGTGAGAGGGGGATGTGAGAAGGTGAGAGGGGGATGGGAGAAGGTGAGAGGGAGATGTGAGAAGGTGGGCAACAAGGTGATAAGGATGCGAGGAGCGCTGACTTGATGTGGTGGCGCATGTTTTCCTTTCCTCAGTGTTTTCCTGCCTTGATCTTATCATGCCATCATGCCTCCATGCCGTAATGCACGCCCTCTCCCTTGTCGGTACGTCCCCCAGGTGGATGTATACTCGTTTGGAGTGGTGATGTGGGAGATGCTCACAGGGGAGGAGCCCTACGCGAGCATGCATGCAGGCGCTATCATCACAGGCATTCTCACGAACAGCCTGCGCCCCCCCGTGCCCTCCTGGTGCGACCCTGCCTGGAAGCAACTCATGGAGAGATGCTGGGCGGCAGACCCTGCGGATCGACCCACCTTTTCAGAAATTGTGGAGGCGTTGAGAGAGATGGAGAGTAGTATGGGCGGCGGGGCTGGGTCGGCAGGGCAGAGGTGACACGTGTGGGCTGGGATTGGATTTTGAGGAAATAATAACGGACGTTGGTTCGGGAACGAGGAAGTTGATGAGTACGGACCACGGTACTTGTGTTGTAGTATTGTAGCTTGGATGTTGGTGGATTTGCTGGTCTATGTTGTATTGGCAATTCAGTTGTATAAATACTAGTGTACATTTGTAATCTCATCCTGCTGTTTCCAAAAGAACCAACTTTTAGTCTTTCCCACCTTTCCCCCTCATGGGATTAACGTACGTGTAAATATCTCTCCTTTTATAGAAAGTGGATAGGCAACCACAGAATGCTGTTTCCGTATAACACTCGTCGACACCAATCTTGAAGAGGGTTCTTTCCCCCTAGCTGCTCTCCAGCTGGCTGATTTTAGCGAACCAACAGGCGCTCATGCAGCACACATACCCCTGCGAAGCGCGGGCGGTATGTGAGCCAACATGCACGCAAGCCGCTGGTTTCCCGCGCCGCGCGCGAATCGTTGTGACCTCGACGGAAGGCTATTATTGTACTACCAGCGCGGATCTCAGAATCATTATCGCCATGCGTTCACATGCTATACAATCTTTTGGCTAATGGAAAACAAGCATGTGTGCCTACTCAGTTTTAAACATCTAATTGCTTGCCAGGTGAGGTAAGCTGTGAGCTGTCAGGGACCACAACTCGCTGAACCTCCTAGATTTTGCACTTCTTTGCTGCGCACGTCGGAGCGCGACGAGCTTGACTCGTCGCGTCGACCAAGCGCCAAAGCGAGACCTTGCGGGGTGCGCCGCTGTTTACGAGACCTGAGCTCGCGCTTTCTCGCGCTTCCCGGCGGTGCTCGCGGGTACGGAGGCGTAATGCGCGCGGAAGCGCAGAGGGAGGGGGGGGAAGCGCAAACGCGCGTCATTATTGCTGGACAGCCAGGCAGTGCCTCACCATGTGAAGTGACGTGTGCGATGCGCTGTGACTGGCGGAGCAGCCGCTGTGGCCCCCACTATCGATTTTTGTTTCCCCACCCTCTCCCCATCCTCTCCCCGCCCTCTCCCCACCCCAACCTCCCCTTCCCGTTTCCCCCCCCAGCCGGCTTCGTGCCTTCCGCCTAATAGCGCTTCGTTGCGCGGATCTGCCTCTTCCCCCACTTCCCCCTTTCCCCCGCACAGGGGGGAAGAGGGGTCCAGTCCACCTGGCGCCTTCACGTCATATCTACCGTCAGATCTACCGTCGGATCTACAGCTGGATCTACCGTCGGATCCACCACTCCATCGCGCGCTAGCAATGCTGGATCCGTTGGAAAGCGCCGCGTCGGCAACCGCGCAGCTGTGCATCTTCCCCTTCCGCGCATGCCACAAGGCGGCAACATCGGGCTTCGGCGGAAGCAGCAGCTCCCCCACTACCGCGAGCGCGATCGCTGGGCGAGATGCTCCCGAGTTTCTGGAGACTTCTTGCACCGGAAAGGACTCTTGTCGAGCTAATGCTGCCGTGGTTGCTACTCCGACGATCATTACAACTACCATGACTGCTGATGCCACGGCTTCTACGAGTAATAGTATCATTACGAGTGGTAGTAATAGTAGCCCTTCTGCTGCTTTAAGCGGCTCTCCGCTTCTCGGTCGTTCGGCGCAAGCGCTGGCGGAGACCTTCAAGCTCTCGTTCGACCGCAACAAGCGCTGCGCGGCTGGCGCTGGCGGCGCCGCGAACCACGTCGCGGTCCACGCCGCGATCCGCGCTCCCGTCGCTCCGGAAATGCGCGCTGTGGTGGCGGCACAGTCTCCGCCTGGAGGATCCGCGCTTCCCGCCGACGCCTCCCCGTCCGCACCGTTCGTTTTCCGCGCGGGTCAAGGTGTTTTGGCGGAGTCAACAAAGTCAACGGTAGTGCTGGGTAGCTCGACGGAAGCTGTAAACGACGGTGGGGATTACAGCGGCTCGTTACAACATCATCAGCAGCTACCGCCGCCGCCGCCGCCGCAGCAGCAGCAGCAGATACAGTCGGCGCAGCGGCAGCGGCGGGTGCGGCGTTTCTCATTGGATCACGGCATGTCGACGGGGCAGCTCCATTCGTTGGCTCTCTCCCTCACACGCACGCTCGAGCGATGGGTGCTGCAGCAGCGGCAGCAACGGCTGCTGCAGCAGCAACGGGAGCAGCAGCAGCAGCAGCAGCAGTGCGGGATACCAGGCGGGCTTGTTACTGGAGCTGGTAAGGGCGCTAGCGGGGAGGCGCATTGCGCGGATGCTAATGGCGTGGGGAGGGGCAGCGGGGGAGCGGAGAAGGATGTAGGAGTTGGTTCCGGTGTTGGGATTGTGACAGGCGGTAAAGTCGGACAGGGGGGACATGGCGGGAGGGATGAGAAGGCCGAAGGTATTGAGTCGTTAAAGGAGATGCTTATAGTGATGCTAAGGGAGCAGCAGCTGGGACAGCGGGAAGATCTGACAAGCAGCCGAGATTCGGGAGAGGCGGGTACGTTTGCGCTTGTGGGGATCCGAGGAGAGTGCAGGAGGGAGGAGAAGCAGAGGAGCAGAGTGCGGGGGGAGGGGAGCGGAGATTGCGCGAGTGTGGAGCAGTTTTATCGGCTGGGGGAGGAGGTGGGGCGGGGGCATTTCGGCGTGGTGCGCGTGTGTTGGGATGCGGAGACGGGGGAGCAGTTTGCGTGCAAGTCCGTGCTTCTATCGAATGTCAAGGTATGGTTTCCACTGCAGTGTGTTCGTTGACTGTGGTAGTTTTGTTTTGTTCGCGGTAATGAATCTGACTATAAACAAGTGGACATTCGTTTCCCTTCCTTCCTCCTATGTAGCAGATCCACTGCTATCCTCGGTAACTAGTGCTGCAGAAGCCTCACCATCACTTTTGGTAGTAATCGGATCGGACCCACGTATCGCGATTCTCGGCGCTATTGACACGTCTCTTCCCTCTTCCCCCTCCTCCCTCAAATTTTATTGCCAAAAATTCTCCCTTTTTTTCTCGTCAATCCTTCGTAATCTCTCCCCCGGCCCGCCCTCCCAACCCCCCGTGGCCCCCTTTCCGTCCCCACCCCCCCGCGCTCGCTCTCTCCTCCCCCGCGCTCGCTCTCTCCTCCCCCGCGCTTCCCCCATGGCAGCGCCAGGAGGACGTGAACGAGCTGCGCGCGGAGATCTGCATGCTGCTGCGCCTGCGCGGGCACGAGCACATTGTCTCGCTGCGCGAGGTCGTCGTCGACGCCGCGAGCGCCGCCGTGCACGTTATAACGGAGCACTGCGAGGGCGGCGACCTGTTCGAGTTTATAGCGCGGAAAAAGCGGCTGAGCGAACGCGAAGCCGCGCTCTTGCTGCGCCAGGTCGTGTACGCGGTACAGCACATGCACACTAACGCGATACTGCATCGCGACCTTAAACCCGAGAATATTCTTCTGGTGAACCCCGCTCCTTCTTCCGTTCCCGCTTCCGATCCTGTTCCCGCTTCCGCCTCCCTTCTCCCCACGGTCACTAGTGGCGCTGGCGGAGACTGTTCCGCGCGGTCCCGTTCCAGCTGCTCCGCGCGTCGAGAAATTGCCAGGGAGGGGGAGGGAGAGGCGGAACGAGAAGGAGGGGAGGGAGAGGCGGGGGAAAAGCGGCGGGTGAAAGTTGCAGATTTCGGGCTATCCCTGGTGCTGCAGCGGGGGCAGCAGGTGCGCGGATTGGCGGGAAGCCCGTTCTACATGGCTCCAGAGATCGTCAAGCACCAAACGTACGGGTTTGCCGTAGACGTGTGGAGCCTGGGCGTCGTTCTATACACCGCATTGGCCGGCGTGTTGCCTTTCTACGGGAAGGATCACGCGACGATCTTCGGCGCGATTTGCCGCGCGCAGCCGGATCTGACGCGGCATCCGTGGGGGACGGTGAGCGGGGAGGCGAAGCACCTGGTGCGGCGAATGCTGTGCGCGACGCCGCAGGGGCGCATTCCGCTCGCGCAGGTGCTGCTGCACCCGTGGATGGTGCGCCACAACCCGCACGCGCGCGCGCAGGCGGAGGCGCAGGCGCAGGGGGGTGCGGTTCCGCGCGCGCCGCCTGGGCTCGGGTATGGGGATGGGTACGGGCGCGAGCGTGAGCGTGAGCGCGAATGTGGGCGAGTGTATGGTGCTGGTGGGTATGGGCAAGGATACGCGCACATGCAGGCGTGCGCGCAGGAGGTTGCAGCAAGGAGCGGGCCTGATGCTGTGGCGCTTAAGGGGGGTATGCCGCCTGCTACTGTACCGCCTGCCCATGGTCCTGTGCCCTCTCAGGTTGCGGTGCCTGCTCGTGCGACCATGCCTGCTGCTGTTGCTGCTGCCGCGCCTGCTTACGTGCATGCTTCTGATGTTTCCCCTGTGAAGCGGGACGAGAGGAAGGATAGGGAGGAGATGGTGGAGAAGGGTCGGGAGAAGGGGGAGCGGGTGGATGGGGGTGTGGCCAGGGCGTGTTTTGAGACGTCTCAAAACAAGCAGCAGGTGGATGGGGGTGTGGCCAGGGCGTGTTTTGAGACGTCTCAAAACAAGCAGCAGGTGGATGGGGGTGTGGCCAGGGCATTGGAGAAGCGGAGCGAGTTGCAGAGTGCACTGCAGTCGCCTTCGCCACTGCTGCAGCACAAGCAGCAGCAGCAGCAGTACCAACGGCACCAGCAGCAGCAACAGCAGCAGCAGCAGGGCGCAGATCACAATCCCATGTCCCCCCGTGCCTTCCGCGCCTTCCCCTTCCTCCCCGCCTTCCGCCTGCGCCCCCCGCCGCTCTCCCTCGCGGGTGTGCTAGGAACAGTAGGCTGGGACTCCGCAGCAGGGGAAGGCAGCGCAGCAGGAGGAAGGGAGAGGGGGAGAGACGGGGGAAGGGATGGGCGGAGAGAAGACCCGTGGGGGGAAGGATTGGGGGGGATGGAGAGTGCGCCAAACTCCCCGTATCTTCCCCGTGTTGCCCCGTCCTCCCCCCATTCCCCCATCCCGTCGCCTGCGGCCTCCCCCTTCTCACGCCCCATGCGCTACCGGGATCGCTTCGCCCAGTTACTGCCGCTCCCTCCTGCTGCGCTCCCTGCGCCTCAGTACCCTACTGCTGCTCCTCCTCCTCCTCCTTTTGTTCCTGCTGCTGCTACTCTCACCACTGCGCAGCCTGCTGCTTGTGCTACTCCTGCCGCTGCACCTTCCTCTGATGCTGGTGCTGCTGCTGCTGCTGCTGCGTCGCAGTTGTTGAACCCGCCTAGTGCTTGTGCTGGTGATGCCACCACCACTGCTGCCACCGCTGGCACCACCGCTGCTGCTGCCACGAGCAGGCGTCTATTTGCTCCAGGTCTGTGTGCAAGGGGGGAGCGTGTGAAGGAGGACGGTGCGGCTATGCGAGACCACAGCAGCACCAGCAGCACTAGCAGCAGCCATAGCAGTAGTAGCAGGAGCCACAGCAGCAGCCACAGCAACGGCAGCAGCAACATAAGCAGACTATCCATCATGGGTACTCATGGTTCGCTCTTAAAGGCAAAAAGGGTTCATCCTGGCCCTGACACTGCCTCCCCTCCTGCCACTGCCTCCCTTCCCTCTGCTTCCCCTCCCTCTGCTTCCCGCCCTCCTGCTTCCCCTCCCACTGAACTTCTCCTGTCTGTACACCCTCATCCTATTGCCTCCCCTCCCACTGCTACTCCTCCTGCTTCCTCACCTCATACCATCTGCTCCCCTGTCACGGCCTCCCTTCTAACGGCCTCTCCTCCTGCTGCTACTCCGTCCTCCTCTTCCCCTCATTGCACCACTGCCTTTTATACCGGCCATGCTGCTACTCCCATCACCTTTGCTCCTCCACCGCTGCTCTCGCACCCATCCTCGCCCCGGTTCCGCTCCCGCTCCCCTCACTCCCCCCGGGTATCTCCCATCACTGCTGCCCTTGCTGCAACCAGAGCAACAGAGGCATCAACCAGAACAGTTGGTTTTTCCCCTCTCGGGATTGCTCCTGCTGCCGCTGCTACCGCTCCTCCTCCTCCTCCCTCTGCTGCTGCTTCTCCTCCCTCTGCTGCTACTGCTGTGCACATTCCTTCGCAAGTTTATATGCATCCCCCTCCCACCACGCCTCCTCCCTATCCTGCTCTCCACACATCACCTGTTTCTGCTGGCTCTCTACCTTCGCCTCCCCTCTATCTTCCTCCTCCTTCAACAGTCCCCACTCATGCCATCTCCCCGTATAACAGCCCTACACCTCCCTCCAGTAACACCTCTGTACCTTTCTGTAAGGCTCTCCCCACTGGTTTGATCACAGTGCATACTCTCCCTTCTCCCAGCTCCACGCCAGCTGCTGTCACACCATCCCATGCTATGCCTCCGACCGCCAAGGCCCACGCGCTCTTGAAGTTTGAGGAGTAGACGGAGCAGTGGGAGGGGGGGGGCGGGAGTTGGGGCAGCGGAGTAACACTGCAGTCACTCTCCCTTACACTGCCTGTGTCACGCCATCTCCTGGTGTGACTCCTACCCCCACAAGCCACCTGATGGTAAAGATGTATGAAGTTTGAGAGGAGCAGACAGGGCCGGATGTAGGGGTAGCTGTGGAAGGGAAGGAGGAGGGGCAGCCGAGGGAGGTGCAGAGGCAAACAAAGCAAAGTAACGCAAACAAGTTGGACGGAAGGAAGGATCCAGATAGGCTGGCTGGTGCAGATTATACTGGGTGGATGGGAGGGGAGGGAGGTGGGGGAACAGTGTGGGGTGAAAGGGAGGGGGATGGAGGGGACTTCTATAGTTGGATTGAACTTGTCTGGAGCTGGCTGGCTGTCAATCCATGAGGGAATTGTACGGTGGTACCCTGCATGTGGATTTTTGTTTTGTTTTTTTACCTGTAGTGTTTGTTGGGAGATCCCTGAACACTGTAAAAATCAGTGCATGTACGGTACTATACAATATGGTCAAACACCTTTCCTCTGTACTACTGAGATTTTAGAACCCAACGTCGCCTTGGATATGGCTTGCTTGGATATGGAATATGCATTATATGCTACACCAAGGAACAAGCAGGTTCATGAAAGGAAATTTTTGACATTCCTTACCGCGTGTTGCAACACGTGTACAAGATCAACCTTTGTTCGCCCGTTACTGCTAATGAAACTTTGCCAACCTTTACGAGCACTATTCACCAAACCGTGCACCGCTGGCCTGTTTGTGTCGACTAGCATTTCAACCCTATCTCCCTCCCAGTCGTTCAGCAATGGGGTGTTCCCCGCTTGTTTCCTTTGGCTGCTCTAGCAGGCACCATGTCCGCCCTAGAAATATTCATGAGGATGAAGGTTGTTAGTGCAGCTCGTGCTATAGCGTCTCTGACTAACACAACGCCGATCCCACCGGCTCCTACTCCTCCGGCTCCTCCAAGTCCTCCGTCTCCACCGATCCCACTGCCTGCAGTGCTAGCACCACCATCGCCACCACCCCCTGCGGTACCAATCCCCCCCCTATTCCCATAGCCGTTTGAACATGTGGTTTAAGAGGACGATTTCCCACTCCCTACTGCTTACGGCGATACTTCTGCAGGTGATGACGCTGACATCGTCGATGACGGCTCTGAGGTGCCGGCGTACCCGCTGCCGCAGTTCCCTCTGGACATTCTGCGCGATGAGGAACCCTCTCTCACGAACTTTGATAAGAAAGCCCCTGACTCCCGTGGCAGGATAAGCAAGCACAAGCGGTCTTCGCGGACGATGGAAGAGAAGTTGTCCGTGCGTGAAACGGCAAGGATGGCAGGCATTGGAAGAAGGCGGCGGCGCAAATTTCCGACGCGGCTGGAAGTCGGCGTCGTCTCTGCAGTGGCGGCCGGACGGCGAAGTACCCCGGCATGGAGCCGTCGGTGTACAAGCAGATCCTGGCGTATCGGACACGTGGCCTGGCAGTCCCGGTCAAACTCCTGCAGCTTTAGAGTCGGTCGTTGATGAAGAACCGCCACCCCGAGGTAGACTGGCGCGCCTCTCTGCACTAAACGCAGCGCTTCAAAGCCAGGTGGGGTCTCACAGTTCTTGTGAAGAATAAGATTGTGCAGCGACTAACGAAAGGTAAGCGATGGTCTTCCCTATATCGTCTGTTTGGTCTTTGAACTCGCTCTGTGCGCTTCTCAGTTTGAATTTTTCTTTAACGACTGTATTTTCTCTATCCTCCGCAGACTACAAGAAGAAGTGCGATAGCTTCTAGAAGTTCTATCGCAAGCAGGTCGTCCAAAACGGGATCGACGCGTGGAACATGGTTAACGCCGACCTGACTCATGTGTTCTTGGAAATGCCCTACGAGCACACTCTGCTCCACCGAGGTGAGCGCACCGTGCAGATCCGCAATGTTGACTACGAGAAGGAGCGGATGGTCGTTATGCTTGCCGTGACTGGCGATGGCCGTCATGCTTGCAGTGACTGGCGATAGCCGTCATGCTTGCCGTGACTGGCGATGGCCGCAAGCTGCCACCGATGGTAATCTTCAAGAGGAAGACGATCCCAAAGATCCAAGTGCCAGTCGGTAAGATGTTGCTTGCTTGCGGAATGCGGGGCTTCCCAGAAGTTTACTGACCCTTTGCCTGTGTAGGCATTTTGGTGCGCGCCCAGGAACGAGGCTGGATGGACGCAAGCCTTGTCATGGACTTGGTGCAGCATGTGCTTCTCCTGTACACCAAACCCCCACCAAGTCGCACAAGGTCTAAGACCTTGCTGGTACTCAAGAGCTATCGTGGGCATCTGAGGGAGGGGGTGCTGGCAACTCTGCGCTGGCAGCGCATCGTGCCCGCAATCATCCTGGGGGCTTGCACTCCTCTCGTGCAGCCGCCGGACGTCGCCATCAACTGGACCTTCAAGGCGCGCGTTCGAGAGCCGTACAACCAGTGGTAAGTCGGCATCGCTGCCATTGAACGTAGTCAACGGTCTACCGTATGCAACCTTTTGCTAACACCTGTTGGCTTCTGTTCGCAAGGAACATGAAGAAGCCGCCAGCCGACCTCGTTCTGAAGTGGATCGCGGAAGCGTGGGCGGGAGTCCCTGCGGAGACAATTGATTGGTCATTCAAGACCTGCGGCATTTGCGACCGAGCTGACGGTGCGGAAGACCACCTCATCCTGGCGCACATGTGGGATGTGGCGCACGTAGAGGTGCAAGACGATGTGCATGCCGCTGGAGACACAGAGGAGTGGATCAACCCACTCTATGCGACTGGCGCCCAGGAGGAGGAGGAGACTAGCGCCATGGTATCTGATAATGATGAGGAGGAGTAGGTAGTGCAGTATAGGTAGTGTAGTGTAGGTAGGTAGGTACGCATGACTATGACTACGATACTATATAACGAAACGTACGTAGGTCTTAATAGTATGTAATTGTACATGTAGGATGATGTATAGTAGAAATTTCATTACAATGGTAGAAAAAATTTATAAGGAAGGCGGGGGGGGAGGGGAAGGGGGGGGGGGGGGTTTAGGGGGGAGGGTCCTTAAGAAAACGGTTGGAATAAAGACCTGTGGTCCGAAAGAAGACTCGGGGGCCTATTAGAGCCACGTTCCTTTCGTACCACGCATTTCCGCAACCAGCAAAATCCAGCATTTGATATTTTTTTTTTTCACTCGAAGGGACTCACGCCCCTTAGCGTACTAGGAGTCGCTGCCCTCACGTTCTCGCGTAAACGCGTGCAGCCATGACTGCGCCTAGCACCTAGACCAGCCGACGCCCTTTGACGTGGCTGAACAAATCGACCTTGCGACACTCACGCAGGAGCGCCTGGACCAGCTGACGCACCAATTGCACGAAAGCACATCGCTGCAAAACTACATCGCACGGGCGCAACAAGCACAGTCGCAAACACAAGGCACACAAGCACCATGAGCACGACATGCATCCCAGCACGGGAGTGTGGGACAACCCTCGAGCACGGCTATTGATGGCGTCGCATGCAATGACGGAGGCGACGACCACGGGACGACACAACCCGGAGCGACGAATGCGGCCAGGAGCAGACCACGCGTCACGATTTTGACGCAAATCGATTCGCCTTCACCAATGCCGCTCAAGCCGCAGCGTCCGCCTTACTTCGACCCAAGTCAAAGTGGTGGTCCGACGGTTTAGGCGTGAATTTTCACCATGAACGTGTTTTTCGATGCAAACTACGTCTCGTCGGACGTGGCGAAGATTTGATACGCCGTGTCGTTACTACGAGGACCCGCCATGGACTGGTGGCGCGTCATCGTCACGAAGCCGACCGACTACGAGGCTCTACCGCCACGGGAAGGACCAACCGGACCCCGAGCGCTGTCGTATTTTGTAGAGGTAGCCCAGTATCGCACGTAGGATGCGTGGTGCGCAGGTCTGCGCGCGAGATTCGAGCCAATTGCGGCGTCGATCGCAGCGCGACACAAGTTCCGCACTTGGCGCCAGCTCGGTACGGTCCATGACTACACTAGCGGGTCTCTAGTGTTGTGCGAGCAAGTGGGATACATGCATGAGGCGGAACGTATCGACCGCTATTCCGGCGGCTTGAAGCACGCCATCGTACAAGAAATTCAGTTGCGCACGTTACCGAATTCAACGAAATCCTCGCTATGGAGGAAAGGCGCGATTTTCTCCACCGTCTGAGAACGGAATCCTAAAGCAACAGTAGCAGCAGCAGCGGGGACACCGAGCTTGTGGGACGAACGAGGACGCAACGATACGCGTCGTCACCGCGAATGCCGCTGCCGCACCATTCAAAGGGCGCTCTTTGCGTGCAATAGGCCGGGGCACAGTAAGAGCTAAGGGAAAGGAGGGAACAGAGCAGCAGAAGCAAACCAGGCAGCAGGGAAACGCTGGGAGGCAGTAGTAGATGGCCCCTCTACAGGCAGGCCACGCCGCTCGCCCGACCGAGCCGACCCTCACCGAGTGACAGTGCCGATTCACGCACTCGACCACACCCAGCTGGACAAGGAGGGTTCAATGGTAGACAGATTCATACTGCTCCACACCGGCTTAGTTAAAATCTTCGTAGACGAGGGGGCTAGCCACAACCTGATCAACACCTCTACTGCACGGAGATTATAACTGACATAGAACCAATGCATATTTGGGATTGACGAGAGACTGGTCGACGGCACGCCACTGGCGATACAGGAACGCGTGGACCGAGTTCGAATCCGATGCGGGGATAACTTCACATTCACCTAGGAAATGCTGGCGACGACCCTCGACGGGACCGACATTCTACTTGGCCGTGATTGGTTGCGACGACGCAACCCACGAATCGATTGGAAGATGGGTGATTGCACCGTGCGAGTGAATGGTAACAACATTGCCCTACCTCGCTAGAGCTCGCATGAGTCTTCGTCGATGCGTGTCAACGGGATCACGATGAAACACGCCGTATCGTCAGGAGCTGACGTGTACGCAGTC